CTTGAAGGTGCTGAAGGGCAGCAAAAAGCTCAAGAGCATGAGCAACTGCAGGAATCATCTCGACGACCACGGAGACCACCAAGGTGCAGTAATTGCAATCAAGAAGGCCATAATCGGCTTAAATGTCCTAATAAATAGTGCCTTTTGTTTTATATAGGAAAATATAATAGATTTTGTTGCAATAATCTTCAAGATTTTCGGTCACGTTGGGCTGCAACTCTTGGCCAAGGACTGACCAGCTCGGTGGTGTGACCAGCTCGGTGGTGGATTACGTTAGTCTTCCTCGCTGACCAAGGCCAAAAAAGGCAGTCTAAAAATGGCTGGCCGGGTGGAGTAGCTGTTAGTATGTTGTTGAGTTTTTGCTCGGAACCGAAGCGTGGCCCTCGTTGCCCAAAATGGACGGACGGCGCCAAGACTTCGCTTAGGTCAGCCCACAACTCGTTAAGCGTGCAAAATACACTTCCGACAATTTTGGAGATCCGACACTCTCACCACCTCGACGACTACTAACGACAACAGGGTCAAGATGTAAGTGAACCAGCCTCAATGGCATGTCTTTTCCATCGCGGATGTGATATCTGACTTTGTTCTTCCATGCAGGAGTCACCGGAAGTACGAAGCGCCTCGGCACGGTTCGTCATCCTCAGCGATACTCCTGAAACTTGCTTGAAATTCGGTCGTTTTTTGTGTGCGGTTGACTGATTGCCATCTCTACAGGCTCTCTTGCCTTCCTGCCGCGCAAGCGGGCCTCGAGACACCGTGGAAAGGTCAAGAGGTTAGTCAATCGACTTTCCTGCCATCGATGTTGAAGGTCGCGTTATACTGAGAATCTCTTCGCAACAGCTTCCCCAAGGATGACCCCAAGAAGCCCGTCCACCTGACGGCCGCCATGGGCTACAAGGCCGGTATGACCACCATCGTCCGTGACCTTGACCGTCCCGGTGCCAAGATGCACAAGAAGGAGATCGTCGAGGCCGTCACCGTCATTGAGACTCCTCCGGTATGCGAAAGCAAGCTTCTCTCGTGTATTTGTGGCTCGGATCGCTGACATCCTTTTAGATGATCGCGGTTGGTGTCGTCGGCTACATTGAGACCCCTCGTGGTCTCCGCTCGCTCACCACTGTCTGGGCTGAGCACCTGAGCGACGAGGTCAAGAGGCGCTTCTACAAGAACTGGTACAAGAGCAAGAAGAAGGCCTTCACCAAGTACGCCAAGAAGCACGCTGAGCAGGGCGGTGCTCCCATCACCCGCGAGCTGGAGCGCATCAAGAAGTACTGCACTGTCGTCCGTCTGCTTGCTCACACCCAGATCCGCAAGACCCCGCTCAAGCAGAAGAAGGCCCACTTGATGGAGATCCAGATCAACGGTGGCACTGTCGCCGAGAAGGTCGACTTCGCCCACAACCTCTTCGAGAAGGAAATCCCCATCGACACCATCTTCGAGCAGGACGAGATGATCGATGTCATCGCCGTTACCAAGGGTCACGGTTTCAACGGTGTTACTGCCCGTTGGGGCACCAAGAAGCTGCCTCGCAAGACTCACAAGGGTCTCCGCAAGGTTGCTTGTATCGGTGCCTGGCACCCGAACCACGTCCAGTGGACTGTTGCCCGTGCTGGTCAGTTGGGTTACCACCACCGCACCTCGATCAACCACAAGATCTACCGTATCGGCAAGGGTTCGGACGAGGGCAACGCTTCGACCGACTACGATATCTCCAAGAAGCAGATCACTCCGTACGTGCTATTTCTGTCCATTTATCGCTTATGGGTACTAACCAATATCCAGTATGGGTGGTTTTGTCCGCTATGGTGAGGTCAAGAATGACTTCATCCTCCTTAAGGGTTCCGTTCCTGGTGTGAAGAAGCGGGTCATGACTCTGCGCAAGTCTCTCTGCCCGCAGACCAGCCGGAAAGCCACCGAGAAGGTCGAGCTCAAATGGATCGACACCTCCTCCAAGTTCGGTCACGGTGCCTTCCAGACGCCGGCCGAGAAGCGTGCCTTCATGGGTACGCTCAAGAAGGATCTCGTTACCACTGTTTAATTTGTTCCTTCTTCTGGTGGAGATATTGGGTCGGTGTAGTGCGATGCATGATTTTCCTTGATTAAAACGAATCAAAATACCTTGTTCTTGCAAGCCTGTCGCCTGGCGTAAAAAATGAATTGAAAAGCAAATGGCGTACCAGTTCTGAGTTTATTAGATTATGTAGCTGGTAAAGCGATTTCATGACGGACAAAAGAAAAGATCTGATAGTATCCGCTTGCTCTGTAGTAGTAGTCGTACTGTTAGTGTTGTAGTTGGTCTTATCTGGATCCGTCGCAGTCCAGGATTTTAAATCTGTAACTAGGTAAAAAAAAAATTAGAACTTCCAATTCTCCACCAATTCTTCTGCCCCTTCTCATCACTAGCAATCGACTTGGACCGCAATCCTCGTTTTTCGCAGGCCGAGGGATCGTTGCGGGCCAGAGTGCTGCTGACCCATTGCGTCATGCACGATTTCCGGCTTCTCACCCCCGCGATCAGGCACACAAAGTACGTGCATGCGCGGATAACATCGCTGCCGGCATCACCGCACCTCCGAGGCAGTCCCTTGCATCATTCCCGCTCTTTGCACCCTAGCAGGACATCTCAAAGAACTGACAATCTCCCCGCGACTGCACCAATCGCGCAGACACGGCCCTTTTCCGCCGCGACGAGAAGAAACATGGCTTCCGATGCGGACTACATGGCCTTCCTGGACAAGGCCAACGCCCAGCGCGAGGCGGGCCTGCGCAATCGGTCCCAGACGCAGCCGTCAACGAGTATCAGGACCGAGACCGTCGAGACCGGGGTGAGGGTCCCCGATGTGCTGAAGCTGGTGGACACGTATTACGTCTCGGAGACAGACGAGCCGTTTGAGCCGGTCTCGTTGAGGTGGGAGGGTGCTGTGAGAGGGGTATGGCCGGGGGCTGGTAAGTTGACATCTAACCATAATCACTGCTAATAGACTCTTCAATGAATTACGCCTGACTGAAACGAAAAAAAAAAGAGCAATTCGCATCCCTCATCACCGGCTCTCCCTCCGCCACATCAGATCTCTTCGACTCCGGGTCCATCTCGACGCTTTCGCCCGATGCCTGGGATCCCAAAGGCCAGTACACCGCTGTGCTCCGTGCCGTCCGCACCGCTGCCGTGGCCTCGGATGCGTCGACGAGCAATGTCGACCAGGCCGGTGTCGACGTCAAGGTCTACCGGGTGGAGGTGGGCAGAAGTCGGGTGGAATACTGGGTTCTGGCGCTGGACGTTGTGGAGGGGAGGATTGTTGGGTTGAGGGCGAAGGCTGTTGAGACTTGATCTTGAAAAAAAAAATCTGTGTTTGCTGATGCCATTTTTTATTTGTTCTGTTCTGTTCTGTACTGTTTCATTGGGATGGATGACTGTACTACTGTACAAAAAATAAAACATGCGACGAAAGGGTTGGAGGGTGTTGAAGAGTGTAATTCTTCGGATATAGATACTGGTATACTGTCACTGTCCTCTACCTAGATGTGTAATTGCATTTCTCTTATTCTAAGTGCCATTTAAATCCAACCTATACGTGCGGTGCAGGCTTCGTGAACAGGACGAGTGCATTCTGGCTTCAATTTTACATATTTTCATCAAATCACCAGTGTAAGAGGTAATTAAACAAATCTACCTCCAATGTACCCAACAAAATATATCTGTGACAACATACTATAAGAAGTGTCCCATCTGCAGTGTCATCTTCAATATCTGTCAATCAACTCAATCCCTGTGTCGGATTGCACCGTTCTAAGCTTCTTCATTGCTCGATTCAAGGTTCCGTCCCCATGGGGTCATAAGGCTAACCACAGGAAATCTCAGCATCTCTCTGATAACACTGTTATTAATATTTTTTCAGACACAGAACACCAGATGAGCTGCATTAAAAAGAGTGAGCAATTTCTCTGCACTCTGCACGCACTGATTGTTGAGGCATTTGATAACCGCTGATAAGCGGGGCGGCTTGAACCCCGACGATCCTCCTCCGATCGGAGCGATGAGTCATGTGAGCTGCACCGCGATTCGAGCTTTTGGGAGAGATTTTTTTAAACGCCTCCCCAACAAGACCGAGTCCACCGCTAGATTCGATCTTTCCTGCACCCTTTCTCTCTTCCTGATTCTCTCAATTGACCTCATCTAGACCTTTTCTCACCTCCCATTTTTGAGTTCCCTTCACACGTCCACCATGGCCAAGGATAAGGTCTGTCTGGGTAAGCGCTCTCCCCGCAATTCGTACGGCAATGCTCTCGTGCTGACCGAACCACTCTGCAGCGTACTCTGGAGGTTTGGACACCTCTGTCATTCTCGCATGGCTCATTGAGCAGGGCTACGACGTCGTCTGCTTCTTGGTATGACTCAATCGCGTATCGTATCCGTCAATTGACCTGGTTCTAACATTCTCTTTCTTCCTCTCTTCCAGGCCGATGTCGGCCAGAACGAGGACTGGAAAGCCGCCGAGGAGAAAGCCCTCAAGATCGGTGCGACCAAATTCGTCGTCGAGGACCTGAAGCGCGAATTTGTCGAGGAGCTCTGCTGGCGCGCTGTCCAGTGCAACGCCATCCTGGAAGACCGCTACCTGCTCGGCACGTCGCTCGCTCGGCCGGTTATTGCCCGCGCCCAGATGCGCGTTGCTCAGCGTGAGGGTTGTGTTGCGGTCAGCCATGGTTGCACGGGTAAGGGTAACGACCAAGTCCGTTTCGAGTTGGCTTTCTATGCCATTCAGGTATGCTGCCGCAGCTGTAAGTTTATCGGGAGAATCTGTCGCTCATGTTCATGCGCTGTAGCCTTCGATCAAGGTGATTGCTCCTTGGCGCATGCCCGAATTCTTCAACCGTTTCGCTGGTCGGAACGATCTGTTGGACTATGCTGCCAAGGTCGGCATCCCCGTTACCTCTACCAAGGCGTGAGTTACACCAAGCCACCTTGTGTTGCCGATCAGGTGGAGCTGACAATTGTGTAGCAAGCCTTGGAGTATTGATGCCAACTTGGCTCATACCAGCTATGAGGCAGGAATTCTGGTAGGCTGAACTATGCGAATATGATTTGGAATTCGTCGCTCACAAATTTTACAGGAGGACCCCAATCAGACTCCTCCGGATGACATGTGGAGGATGACCGACTCTCCCCTTAACGCACCCAACACCCCCGAGGACTTTGCTATCTCTTTCGAGAAGGGCTTGCCTGTCAAGCTGACGCTTGCCTCTGGCGAGACGCTGACTGACTCGCTTGATATTTTCACGACTTTGAACGCCATTGGCCGAAAGCACGGCATTGGCCGTATCGACATTGTCGAGAACCGTTACATCGGCATCAAGAGCCGAGGATGCTACGACTCTCCCGCCATGACCATCCTGCGGGCCGCCCACATCGACCTGGAGGGTCTGGTGCTGGACCGTGAGGTGCGCGCGCTGCGCGACCAGTTCGTCACGTTCAACTGGTCCAAGCTGGTTTACAACGGGCTGTACTTCTCCCCGGAGCGGGAGTTCATCGAGAAGAGCGTGATCGCCAGCCAGGAGACGGTGAACGGCACGGTCCGGCTGCGCGCCTACAAGGGCTCTGTCAGCATCCTGGGCCGCTTCAGCGAGACGGAGAAGCTGTACAGCGCCGAGGAGAGCAGCATGGACAGCCTGGTGGACTTTAGTCCTGTTGACACGACCGGTTTCATTGGCATCTCCAAGATCCGTCTCGCAAAGTACGGCCAGAGGAAGGCCGAGATGGGTGAGAGCCTGAGCAGGGCGTAAGCTGACATGTACATGGCGACCTTTTTTTGTTTCATATTTCTCGTATTATTTGTTTTTACAAGCAAGGCGTTTTTAAACCTAGGAAGGAAATGAAAGAATGGAGGAGAGAGGGGTCTCGTCTCGTTATGATGTGTCTGAGAGAAAAAAAAAAGAAAGAACAATGTAGCGATTGCTTTGAAATGGAGATCTTAAATAAAAACAATTACTGATTTATCTATATTGCTGTGGTACAGAGTGCATATGTATATGCATAGGCTGGCTGTACCAGTATTTCCGTGTTCAAACATAATCACCATTCACCAATAGTTAATGACAAGGTATTAGATAATTCGATAGCTAATCTTGATTTCTTTGACCGTGGTTGGTTGGTTGATTGTCAGCTGCCTGCCTGTCTAGGTATGTTTCAGGCTGAGGACTGAGGGCTTAGGGCTTGGGCTATGATTGACGATTGACAATTGAAGACTGACAGGACCTAGGTACATGTACAATGTACAGTACATACATACAGCTTAATCCAGTTCTATTGTCCAGAGCTGAAACAAGTTGGAGGATTCACTCATTTACTTATTCATTCCCCTCCCCTTTTTTTTTTCGGCAGAAGAGAGTAGAACTGCTCAAATGGGCAGTACAAGTATGTACATACATACAGTAACAACAGAGGGAGATAGAGAAATAATTTCAGCGAGAGTCAGACTAATTTAATTCATTTGTGTAGCTGAAATCAAATCAAAGAAAAAAAATAAAATCATCTGAGAGTACAGTACAATAACATATGTGGAAGAGAATTGCTTGGAGGAGAAAACGGCTAAGAAAAAGAAAAGGAAAATATAGCTACTGGAAACGAGAAAATTTTTTTAAGAAAAATTATGAATGACTGTATCCTGGGTCTGGGTCTGGTTTGTTTGACTTCGACTTTGACTTTGGTTTCTGGTAGATAGATAGATGGATTAATTTAAATAAACAGGGTATAATAGGATACAGATTTCTCTCTCTTTCTCTCTCTCGTTTTTTTCTATCGATACGAGGGAGGGAGCGAGGGCATTTTATTTTATCCAACTCAGCTCAGTAATTACCTGGGAATATAAATGTAATCCCTAGATACATGTCTAAGCTTGCTCTTGTTCTTGCTGTTGCTCTTGCTTTCTGAACACATTTTCCATATCAGCTGCCCGACGATATGGATGCAGTTTGTTTGCAGCAGTCACGTTCAAGTTTAGTCTAACAAGAATTGTCTGCAAAGACTAGAAATTTGCTGGTAGACCGGTTTTTCGTTTTTTTTTGGGGGGGGGGGGGGAATATGTATATACCCACAGTGCCTGTTCTATATGTCATGAGCAGAATGGTGATTTACTATTAATAATAGCTTTGATCTCTCTGCGTGCCTACGCGCCTTGACTTGACTTGACTTCTTGAGACATTGTCGCGGATGAACTGGAGTTTTGATGATCGTTTAGCGGCTGTTCTGGAAAAAAAAAAGGAAAAGATGCTGCGATCGTTCTTACTTAGTTAGGGTTAGTGCAGTAGATACATATGTACAGTACAGTACGTATGTATGTAATTGGATTTTTGTCTACCACACTACTTCAAAGCTATTCAAAGCCAGAGAGAGAGAGTATTCTGCAATAGTAAGTAGTAGTAAGTTTTCTACCGTTTTTAGCAGCTTGCTGGGGAATGAAATATGTGCTTCGTGCGTAGATAGGGTTAGCGACTGCTGCTGGTGGTGGTGGAAGAAGTAGCGAGGAACGCATACACATGGTAATATCAGTTTTTGTTTTTTCAACGAGAAGAGCTGAAGCTGTCGGGTGAACAACAACAGAAGTCTGCTAGTTTTTTTTTCAAGCTGGAAGATGTCTGATCTAAAGAGAAAGAACATGGCGATCGCACGGAAAAGACTGCGGAAAAATGGGAATATGCCTCATATCTAAAAGTCTTTTTTTTTCTATAGGCAATGAAATAATATGAAAAGGATGTGGATGGAAGTTTTTGGGCAAACACAAGGGTATGCGTCTCCGGACACGCTTTGAAGGCAGTCAAGTTTCTAATTCTGACTGTTCAGTTCAGTGTCTCATATCAAATTGTGTTTTCATCGCACTGCTTGTATTTACTGTACGTTCATCGAATGATCGCTCAACATTCTCCTTGAAGAGTACATACGAGGAAATTAGCCAGCGAATGAATCCCGTCGGTCTTTTGTAATAGAGAACTCTCTCTTTGACAGAAATGTGGAAATGAGAGGAGAGATACATTAATTAGAACTATATTTATTGCGATATTCCGGAATGGGAATTTCATCACAATGCGATTCGATTTTTTTTTGACTCCGCCAAGGGAGTGTTTTACTGTCCTCAATTGCAAACTGGATGCTCACAATTACAAAAAAAAAGAAAAAAAAAGGTGTGGAAGAGGCTCTTCCATTCCTTGTGGAGGATATTCAATAGCAAATACAAATTATACTTAGCAGCTTAGCGTGGTATAAAAGCTTACTAAGTAAGAAAGTGAGAAGAGTACATGTACAGTGACTGCTGGTGGTATAAATCTTGTGTGAATCTGTAGAAAGTCAGTTTCAGAAGATGGAAAATCAAGATCAATTTTCCAAGCTATCATGCAGACCAGAATGCGGCGTCAGACCAGAGAGGAAGAACCAATTCTGGACACTGGATACCACAGAATCATCAATTCCAAGCATGGCGTGACACCAGCATGTATTCACCTAATTTGATCCTCTATATTCATGGTATATTTTGAGAGTCTCCTAGATAGTTTCCTAAAGCAAGAGCAGAACTTAGTTCTCTCTTCTACTGCAAGCATCGACAGCAAGGAAAGACTACTTACATTTTCTGATATTCTTCGCGGCTTTATGGCAGTGTTCTTCTCACAGATGAAGTGTTGGTGGTCTGGTTCAGTGAGCATCATGCTTGATCGCGGTTGGTTATCTGCGGTGTCCAAGAAATTGCAGAGTTTGCCTTCAACAGCCAAGTCAACGTGTTGTACATGTTATTCTTGACACTCTGGACAAGTGCAATGCAAGGGAAGCAGAGAAGGCTCTTGATTCTTTTCACGCCAGAAAGTCACTCAACTTGGAACCGGTCAGATCAACTTTCTATTTATCAGGCAGAGGACTGATACTTTTCAAAATGCTATTTTCAGCTGCAAATATTTTTTTATCTGACAGTTACGAACATCATAATGACATCGAGAGATATGTTTAGTACGAAGTTCGAGTTAGGCCATATCTCAGATGGTGTCTACAGTCACGGCTGCTGCAAAGGCATGTAGCTCTCATATCTTCCAATAATGCAGGCCGTTCGTGATCAATTTCCTCATTTGGTAAAAATACAGATATACCTATCAGGTTGACATCTCCGGTTTCCGCCGTATTTCATCGCGCTGTGCCTGCCTGCCATTGCTTGGCTGGCGGACCCTAGTCCCAATCGGACATTTCTGCGATGGCGGCATGGGCGGGGCCCCGCGGGGTGACGGAAACCAATAGTGGCAGGAATAATCATAATCACCATCAGAATCACAATCATAATACAGCTATTGATAATTGGCATCCGAATTAGTGTATAATGACAACAATTTCTCTATTTAATCGCTTGCTTCTATCGGAAGGAGTCCTATTGCAATTTCGATTTTGGAGCAGTCAGTTTGAGTAAAGTCGGCGTACAGTCCGATATCGGCACTTTCCCCATTTGACTACGCACGTGCCATTCGTAAATAACATCTGTACTGTCATCTATATATCTTCGACATATATATCTTCATGACGAGGGTTTAAGAGTCTGCTGGCTTGTCAATCCTGCCTTCGCCATGAGCGTCTTCTCTGCTTCGTCATTATTATTCTCCCGCCACCTGCCAACCTGCTTCCCACGTCTCACCGGACCACTGCAAGCGAGGATGCTGTCGCAATCGAGTTATCGCGCAGCCAAAGACTGGAGCGCCGACCAGTATCTGAAATTCGCTGCCGAGCGCACACGCCCGGCGCGCGACCTGCTCGCCCAGGTCCCTCTGCAGTCGCCCAAGCGCGTGGTCGACCTGGGCTGCGGACCGGGCAACTCGACCGCCGTGCTGGTGGCACAGTATCCGGATGCCCGCGTCACGGGCATGGACTCGTCGCCCGACATGCTGGCCAAGGCGCGCGCCGCCCTGCCGGACATTGAGTTCACGCTGGCGGACCTGAACTCGTACCGTCCTGACCCCGAGGAACACGGGCCAGTCGACCTCTTCTTCTCCAACGCTGTCTTCCAATGGCTGGCTCCTGCACACCGCATCCGCATCATCACCGACCTGATCCAGACGCAGCGTCCCGGCGGCGTGTTCGCCTTCCAGGTGCCGGACAACTTCACAGAGCCGTCGCATGCGGCCATGCGTGCGACAGCCGCGGAGGAAGGACAGCCGTGGACAGCGACGCTCAGGCGGCTGCAGCCCGGCCTCCCGCCGTTCGAGTCGCCGCGGGAGCTGTACGACGCGATCAAGCCGTTCTGCGCCAGCGTCAATGTCTGGCACACATCCTACTACCATGCGCTGGAGGGCCATGAGGCGATTGTCGAGTGGGTCAAGGGGACGGGGTTGCGGCCGTTTATCGACCCGCTGGCGCCGGACGAGAGGGAGGCGTTCCTGCGGAGGTATCTGGAGCGGCTGAAGGAGGCGTATCCGAAGAATTCGGACGGGACGGTGCTGCTGAAGTATCCGCGCCTGTTTCTGGTTGCTGTGCGGGGGTAGCAGATCAGCGGTTGTTGCTGTTGTGTCGTTTCTTACTGTTCTCTTCCTACGACGGTTGTTATGATCCCGTGTTCCTGCATTTATTGGTTTAATGGATGAATCGGTGATACGAGTGTATTATATCTGCCAGCAGGTAGCAAAAACGCCAGAGCGATGCAATGCAATTCCTGTTTATTTTTTTCTCAACAGTTTATTTCAAGAAAAATATTATTCACTGCAGACTTCGTCAAAAAGCGAATGCTATTGCATTCTTTTTTTTTTTTACACGAGTTTACAACACAAAGATTATAATTATAGTAATAAATAGTAACGACGGAATATGATGTCGTATACTGTGGTAGTACAAATTACAACGAGGTCTCTCAGCACCTAGGAGTAAATGATCTTATCCGTGAAACCAAGCAAGTACCCGTGTCAGGAAGGAAAAAAGGACGGAGAAAGGAAGCTGATCGACCGGCTATCATATATATATATGCTTGGGGTCTAGGTCTAGGCTTCATGGAGCTTATGTACCGTACACACCTCCAGGGCTAGAGTATGTCATACGTAAACTGACAGCCGCACAGCGCCGACAGCGGCTGAAATAACATTTGACAATTCTATTTGAATAAAAATGCGGGGTAAGGGTCTATTCTTATTTTACGTAATTCCCCACAGTATAGAAGACATCCGATAGATGATGCGCAGACGAGGCATTTTATCTATTCGTCATCGCTAGCAGGGGTACGCATGCTGCGTGCCCTGTAAGCAGTGAGAGAGACTTTGAATCATCCACATCTATCCTTGCAAGGCTATGCATTAGGATGTACTGTACATTCACTGAGTATATGTACGCCCTCGGTTAAGGCACGGGATACTGTTTCTGGGGGCGTTACTCATTTTATACTAGCTATGTGACACAGAACGATGTGCATATATAATAGATACAGCTAGCACTCGAATGTAATATGTATGTACTACCCCATCATTCTCAACTCCTCCTTATGCTGGCTGCAACTCTGACACGTACCCAGATTTCTTCTATTGTCTGTAATTCTTCTTATTATTCTTCTTCTCGCCATGTGCGGCCTCACTGCCATTCTGTCGTTCAGGAACCGGCCCGATTCGCCTGCTGTTACCGAAAAAGAAATCGATGACAGTCTGGAAATCGTCAAGCATCGCGGTCCGGATGCGCGCGGGCAGTGGATCAGTCCTGACGGCCGCGTTGGTAAGTCAGTCGTTGTGTTAATCATCTCTGGGCAAGCTGACTGTTCGTCCAGGACTCGGCCACGTCCGCCTCTCGATCATCGACCTCAGCCCGGACGGCAACCAGCCCTTCCACGACCGGCAGAACGACGTCCACGCCATCGTCAACGGCGAGCTGTACGACCACGAGCGCTACCGCGCCGACCTGTACTCGGAATACGACTTCCAGGGCCGCAGCGACTGCGAGATCGTCCTCGCGCTGTACCGCCACTACGGCTTGTCGTTCGTGTCTCACCTCCGCGGGGAATTCGCCCTCGTGCTGTGGGACGCCAAACGCCAGGTCTTCCTCGCTGCTCGCGACCGGTATGGCATCAAGTCGCTCTACTATACGTTCGTGGATGGCAGGCTGCTGGTTGCGACGGAGATGAAGTCGTTTTTGGCGCTGGGGTGGCAACCAGAGTGGTGTGTCCAGTCGCTTATGGATGGTGGATGGCGGTTCGATAAGCGGACTCTGTTCAAGGGCGTTCGTAAGGTATGTGCTGACGGCTGAAATGTGTGAGGCTGTTGTTGATGCTGACTGACTGCGGTAGGTCCTCCCGGGCCACTATCTGCTCAGCAAGCATTTTGGCGATGTCGAGCAGAGACTGTACTGGGATCTGGAGTACCCTGACAAGGTAGGGACCCGTCAGAAGCCACTTAGCATCATCGCTGACCATCTGTAGCGAGTTCTGGAGACGCGGTCCGAGGCAGAGATGATCGCCGGAGTCCGCAAACGCCTCCTCCAGGCCGTGCGGCTGCGCCTGCGCGCCGACGTGCCCGTAGGCGTCTACCTCAGCGGCGGACTCGACTCGTCGGCGATCGCGGGCATGGTTGCGCATCTGCTCAGGGAGAGCGGCGCGCAGCTGGGCAACGACGACAGTCGGGACCTATCGCGGATGCAGTGCTTCACCGTGCAGTTTGACAAGGACAGCGGAGCCGACGAATCTGGTAAGGAGTTAGCTATCTCTGCTGCTGCTGATCCCTGCTGACGGCAAAGACATCGCACAGCGCACGGCAGAATGGCTGGGCGTGGATTTTCACCCAGTGCATCTGGACGAGGCGGCCATGGCGGCCAGATTCGAGGACGTCGTTTGGTACAGTGAGACGCCGACTGCTGATGTCAACGCAATGGGCAAGCTGGCCCTGTCTGAAGTGGTTCATTCTAAGGGGTTCAAAGTGGTCATTACGGGTTTGTCATATAACCCCAAAGCCTGGCTTTTGCTGACTGTGTTTTTGTTTTCAGGAGAAGGATCAGACGAGCATTTCGGGGGATACTCCCTTCTCTGCGCCGATGCCCTCGCCGAGCCGGATTACTCGTGGCCTGCCTCCATCCTCTCCGAGTTCGCTCGCGGAGAGGCCTGGAGAGCGGCACGCGCAAAGGTGGACATAATGAATTTCGACCCAGGCGCGTCCACCGTCCCAGCGTCGACAGCACGCATGCTCAACGACACCAGCATCGCCACGGCTCTGTCCACGCATACGCCGCTCCCCTTCGCCCCCTGGACAGCGGCCTGTTACCCGGACAGCAACCCGGAAACCGCCCTCGCGGAGAGCTTCGACGGGCGCGTGCACGAGGCCATGGCCAACAGATGGCATCCGCTGCACACGGCCGAGTACATCTGGACGAGAACGACCTTCCCAAACGTGCTGCTGCGGTACGTGGGCGACAACATCGACATGGTGCATCACGTCGAGAGCCGCACGCCCTTCCTGGACCACCACGTCACGGAATACGCCAACGGGCTGCCGCCGAGTCTGAAGATGAAGTACGACCCGGCCACCCAGTCCTTCCGCGACAAGTACCTCCTCCGCGAAGCGATGAAGCCCTTCGTCACGGCGGAGATCTACGAGCGCGCCAAACACCCGTACATGGGGCCCGCCCGGTTCGCGGAGAACGGGCCCCTGCACGCCGTGGTCCGGAGGCTGGTGACGCGCGAGAACGTCGCCAAGCTGGGGTTTGTCGACTGGAGCAAGACCGAGGGGTTGGTCGAGAGGGCGTTTGTCGACAAGGATGCGTTTGCTTTTCGGAGGGCCATGGCCGTGGCGCAGTTTGTTGTTCTGGGGCAAAGGTTTGGTGTGAAGACTGCTGCTCCAGAAGCAGAGTAGGTAATAAAGGCCATGTACAGCAACCTATCTGAGTATTGCAACCGGAGCTAAATTGATAGGTGTTATCAGTGTGTGTAGTGTACTTTACCATGCAATATGACAATCTTCTATGAGAGTTTTTTGATAAAGGGGATCTCTTGCCTAATGCGGTAAGAATGAGACAGAGAACCCTAAACAAGACAAAGATATAGAATTATTGGCGAGAAACAAAACAAAGGCTTACTATCTATTCTTGTTTCTTAGACAGTTGTTAGACTGCTAACTCTATACGTTGCAAATGCGGCCAGAAGCCATGCCATGACATTCGCTTCCTAGCAAAACTCTGCAACATGTCGTCCAGATTGTAATGTTGCATTTCTTCATTGTCTTTTATATGAAGCTTTATATATCTTCTAACCTCTATCGTACTCAAGCCTTGACCCATGGGGTCGGTCGGGTATCGTTCACATGGCCGTTGGACTCCGCTTCTGGAGGCTTGCCCCATCCTCCGCCGCCTGAATTTAACAATTTAGCATGCTGAAATAAGAATAAATAAAAGGAGGAAGCTTACCCGGCGAATTGACTTGGATATAATCTCCCGCATTCAGCTCAATCACTGCCTTGGCGCCGATGTTGATCTTCTCCAGCACTCCCTCCGCATTCTTCTTGAACACAAAATTGCGCCCCACGCTCCCCGGCTCACCCCCCTCCAGCCCGTACGGACTGTAGACCCGTCGCTCTGACAACACGCTGAACTTCAGCGGGATCCGCGCCTCGATCTCCCGCGTCACCCCGTCGCCTCCGTTGTACAGCCCCCGTCCACCGGTCCCCCGGTTGATCCTGTCGCAGCGTACGATCACCGGCGTCCGCTTCTCGATCACCTCCGGGTCCGTCGCCCGCGTGTTGGTCGAGTGCACGTTGACCCCGTGCGCTCCATGCCAGGTCGGCCCCGCTCCGCTGCCGCCGCCCACCGTCTCGCCGTAGTTCCACCCCGGCTTCACCTCGCCTGTCCGCGGGTCCTTTCCGCCCATGCCCCAGCCCAGACTGTTGGCGCAGCCCTGGCTCGCCGCTGCCGCCCCAAACGCCTTCAGGATCACGTCTGTCACCCGCTGGCTCGAGATCGTTGATCCGCAGATGGCCACCGTCGGCGACGGGTTAAGGATCGACCCCTCTGGGATCCGGATCGTGCACGGGTTCAGACACCCCTGGTTGAGCGGGATGTCCATGTCGACCAGACACCGCAGCACGTAGATGATCGCCGAGTGCGTGATCGATACCGGCATGTTCATGTTGCCGTACGTCTGCGCGCCCGTGCCCGCAAAGTCGAACACCGCCGTGCCCGCTTCCCCGTCGATCGTGATCTCCACCTGCACCGGCGTGCCGTCGTCGAACCAGTCCACTGCCCGCAGCGGCTTGCCCCCGGTCTTCTTGTACATTTTCCGGAAGAGGTCTCGGATCGCCAGCTCCGCGTTGTCCTGGATCCCGCGCATGTACAGGTGGACTACCGGCAGGGTGAACTCCTTGCAGAGCTGGTTGATCAGCGTGATGCCGCGCTGGTTGGCGGAGATCTTGGCCTTTATATCGGAGATGTTGTCGTTGAGACGCCGCGTCGCGCTGCACCCGGGGTATTCAGCCACACGGTTGAAGAGGTCCCGGACCTCGTCTTCCAGGAACACCCCGCCGCTGACGATTTTCATCGACTTGACCGCCATCCCCTCTTGCCACAGTTCCTTAGAGTCCGGCACCATGCTGGTGATTCCGATCCCGCCGATGTCTGTGTGGTGGCCCCGGGAGGCCACGTAGAAGATCAGTTCGTCGCCGTAGAAGGCCGGGGTGACGACTGTCAGATCTGGCAGATGGGTCCCGCCCGCTTCGGGGTGGTTCGTGAGGAGCACGTCGCCGGGCTTGAGCTTATCGCCCCACAGACGGTGCTGATACTGGATGGCATACTGCATGCTGCCAAGATGGATGGGGATATGCGGCGCGTTGGCGACAAGGCCGCCGTCCGGCGAGAAGATGGCGCAGGAAAAGTCCAGCCGCTCCTTGATGCTGGTGCTGATGGAGGTGCGCTGGAGCGTGTTGCCCATCTGCTCAGCAATGGACATGAAGCGGTTGGCGAAGCAGGATAGCTGGACGGGGTTCACCTTCTCGGCGCTGATCTCGGGCTGTCGATCCTCGGTGGCGTATCGATCGATAACGATGTGGCGAGACGTCAGGAAGCATTCGTAGCCTTTTTCGACAAGGATCGTCTGCGTTTCATCCGTGATGATGGCAGGACCCTACACAGTTAGCAATAAAAAGAATAACAGGAGTTTTTCATACTTACCTTTATATAAGACCCCGTCTTCATCGACTCGAGGCCGTAAATTGGCACTGTCTCCCACGCATCATCCAAGAACACCTTCTGCGATGATTTGGGTTCGGGGATTATCTTCTGTTGTCTCGCCCTGTCGAGCTCTTCTGTTATCGACAGACCTTCCTCGTCGACCTTCCTCTTCGCGGTACCACGAACCCGGATGCTGTCCACAACGATGTCTCTGTTCGTCTTGAACGCAAACTCTCGCAGATGCTGCTCTGTGAACGCGGCGCTGTAGTCTCCGTCCGCTGGCTCCTCCACGCTGAGACTCGTGTCCATGCCTTTGTACTGCAGGTTCAGGAAGGTCTGGAACTCGATCTCGTCTTGGACGACGTCCTGGCTGCGCAGGTCGTTCTCCAGCTTCGACTTGAGGTATTTCTCCCGTTCGCGGATTTGCAGCATTGCGTCAGGAGACAGTGTCAGAGACGAGGGTTCGGTGACTTCGGAGGTGATTTCTGCCAGACTGATTCCGTACGCGGATAGGAGAGATGAGTATCTGTGAATCAGGATCCTGCGGATGCCGAGATTGGACGCAATGGCGCATGCGTGTTCTGCAGTCATTCTGTCAGCAACCATGGCTTCACGACTAGGGTTAGGGCCTGCATACGTCCTCCCGCTCCGCCGAAACTGACCAGATTGTGGTCATATGTTGCAAACCCGCGCGCCTCTGTTGCATTCCGGATGGGCCGGCACATGCTCTCGTTGGCGACTTTGATAAACCCGTGTGCGACCTGCTCCGGAGTGAATTGGACCTCTGACTCCGCGTTGATCTGAGCAGTGAACTCTGCAAATTTCTTCGCGACGATTTCTGTGTCTAGCGGCTCGTTGGCCTTTTCTCCGAAGATCGATGGGAACGACGACACCACCAGCCGGCCGAGGAAGAGGTTGGCATCGGTGATGGTCAGAGGGCCGCCTTTTCTGTAGCATGCTGGACCAGGGTGTGCACCCGCACTCTGTTGGAGTCAGAAAAAAAAAAGAAGTAGAAAATTATCACTTCATCTTTAGAACATCACTCACCTCCGGACCAACTACTAGCAGTCCATTCCGCACAAACAACATGGAACCGCCACCCGCTGCAACCGTGTTGACGTTCAGCATGGGCGTAGAGATCTTGCGACCAGCAATGGTCGATTCGATGATATGATCGAACTTGCCGTCGTACCGGGAGACATCGGTGCTCGTCCCGCCCTAACCACAAAGTGAGCTTTAACCACAGATGAGCAAGGGAGTCGCTTATCATACCATGTCGAAGCCGATCAGAGCCTTCGGGTCCTTAGGATCATAACACGAACGGGCGACGCCAACTACACCGCCAGCGGGTCCGCTCAGCAGTGCAGCGTTTCCGCTGTACTTCTGCGCCTTTCTCAGCCCGCCGTCGGAGGAGATGAAGTCGACTCGCTGCGGAGGCACGGCAAAGCCGTCGAGGAAGTTGTCCACATAATCGCGGACGATGGGCGAGAGATACGCGTCCGTGCAGACGGCGGTCGCTCTGTGGAGGATTTTGATGCGAGGACTAATCTCTGACGAGAGGGAGATGGTCTCGAAGCCTTCCTCTTTCGCGAGCTGTCCAGCTAGTCGCTCGTGGTCTGAATCCGAAATTAGATTTAGTATGAATATCAACTTGAAGACTCACTTGATGACCACATACCCGGGAAAATATGCGAGTGCATAAAGCAAATGGCGACGGAGGTAAATCCCTCCTGGCGCAGCCGTTGGAGAGACGCCCGAGTGGATTCGACATCCAGCGGCTGGAGGATGCGGACGACCTCTCCGCTGTCCGTCTTGACGAGGGCGGGGTCATTTGCATCAAACTCAGCAGGCGGATAAGGATCCAGCTCGTAGTTCTCGATGGTCACGCGCTCTTCGACCTCGACGACGCTGTCGAAGAGCACCTTGGGCTTGCGGATGTTGAGGTCGAAGAGGTGAGGGCGGGACTGGTCGCCGATCTCGCACAGGTCTTGGAGGCCTGTCACATGATGAGCACACCCATCTACACAGACAGAAGACAGTGCATCCATACCCTTGGTAGTCAGCAGCGCAAACGGCTTGCCCTTGTGCTCGAGCAGCGCATTCGTGGCCACCGTCGTGCCAATCCGACACGACTCTGTTTTTGTTTAGCATTGATCTTCAGATATGAACCAGAGGCGTCTTACCAATGGCAGAAGCATCCAGCTTCTCTCCTACTGGAATCTCTCGCCCTTCGACTATCTGCAATACTCGTCGAATGGCCTCAGTGGGCGCATCGCGGTAGTTCTGCGGATCGACGGAGAGGAGCTTGAAGACGAGGTCCTCTCGCCCTGGGATTTGGGCGATGACGTCGCAAAAGGTGCCACCTCGATCTGAGGACCGTTAGAACAACACCTACACTGCCTACAGACAGGCATATGTTCATGGTTTGCTTGCCTATTGCGATTCGGATGCCACGACGGCCATTATGATTGGCCATTTTTCGAGATGGTGATGCGAAACGAGCGAGGTTGAAAGGTCGGCAGGTATTCTAATCTAGAATAGAAAGAAAGTTCTATAGAAAATAAATAAAGATTATGTCCGGAAGCACTGCAAGCCACGACAGGGGTCAAAGTATGATGCTGCTCGCCAACTGCACGTGGAGCTACCAATTCAGTAACCTGTCCCGTAGAAAGGCAACTCTATCGAACGGAACCGAAGCATTGGGAAAGCTTGTTCTTGCAGAATATCGTCCGGCCAATGGAAGGATATTTCAAGCGAGACGAGTTCAAGTTCCTGACAGGTCTATGGAGCATAATACTTATCCGGGCGAGACAGGCACGGTGAGCCTGCACGGTCTAGTTCGTGTGCTCATTGACGGATTAAATGGCGAAATGCCATTAGTACCGAGTATCGAGAGGTCTCGTTGCGATAGACGGGCAAGAAGCCGATAGTCAAAGGTGGGGAATCCAGTCGCGGGGTTTGCACGTTGACGTCGGAAGTTTTCCGTTATCAAGCATCAGATACGGAGTACTCCGTCCGGGCTATACTAGGCACGATTAGGTAGGTAGATTCCATGCAAAGACCTTGGCAAGAAGCAATGGATCAGTCAGTAGAAAGTTCGAGCGGATTTGGATGAACGGTCTCCTTAGTCTGATCATCACACACATCCAGCATAAGAACAGCTGATCTGTATATATGCGGGGTTATGTCCAGGGGGCGAGACTAAGAATCTGACAGATGACGAATGGCGGTAATGATCGCCAGAACAAAAAGGGTCTATTTTGCAGCTGTGAAATAAGAATTTATCCAGGAATTCCTTTTCTATAAAATTCACTGTCAGCCCTGCAAGAACTCAAACCACAATGCCGGGAGGATAGCTCCTGCCTAGGCAGGCAGTTGCTAGGCAAGCCACTAACCATTGAATCGGGAAGGAGCCCGCGGTGCAGTTCCACCCCGCCGATAACGTGCTTGCGGGCCCGACACACGCCATCTATCCAGCAACACTCCGGAGTCACGGTTGATGGCAACAGTGCCGACGCTAGAACAGCCTGGGAGCTTGTCTATCACTAATTAAATAATAATGCACAATTCAAACATCAAAATGCAGCTGACGCGCGTCACAGCTCGCCCTATATATATCCAAGCCCCTCTGGAGGGCCACGGGCGGTTCAACCACTGGTCGATCAGCTGAGAATATACGGAGTAGGTGACGATGGCGATCGATACTGCACAGTCGGATGCCTCTGTCATCCGGCAAGATGCCTCACGCAAGAATCCGTCGTTGGGAAAGCGCATTCTGGGTCTGCTGTGGGATTCTCTCGACGACAAGAGCCCCGAAGAGCATCGCCTGGTTAGAAGGCTGGATTCCTGCTACTTGATCTGGGCCTGTTTCTACTACTTTGTCATGTATCTCGATTCGAGTAAGTGGTCCATTTATCACCTGCATCTTTTTTTTTTGAGCACTGCTGACCTTTTTTTAGCCAACATTAGCAATGCCTATGTGAGTGGCATGAAAGAGGATCTCCGTCTGTACGGTAACGAATTGAACTGGATGACCACGTATTGGACAATTGGTGAGCTTGTTGTTTCCGCGCCTGCTTCAATGTGGTGCTAATGTATGCTATATAGGTTATATCCTTGGAACGCTGCCGTCGCAGTTTGTCCAGATGCGGGTTCGACCCTCGCGCTGGCTTCCTCTCCTCGAGGTCATTTGGGGCGGGTTGGTGATGTGCATGGCCGCCGCCCCCAATGCCAAAACCATCTACGCTATTCGATTCCTAGTCGGCATCTGTGAGGCGTCCGCCTACCCTGGCATGATGACTCTCCTAGGCAACTGGTATACGCCGCAAGAACTGGGGAAGCGATCCGTTATCTTTCAACAGAGCAGCGCTGCCGCGCAAATGTTTAGCGGGTGTGTTCACTCTCCACTTTCCCACTTTCTTCGCGCTAAACAAGACGCAGGTTCCTCCAAGCAGGAATCTACAACGGAATGAACGGCGCGGCTGGCCTCAAGGGGTGGCGGTGGTTATTTATCTTCGATGGCATCATCTCGCTGCCCATTGCCGTTCTGGGTTTCTGGCTGATTCCAGATGCGCCAGCCAACACGCGTGCCCTCTATCTCAAGGAAGTAGATCGAAAAGTTGCCCAGGCGCGGATGGACAGGTACGGCCGTGCTAAAGCCAGTGGCATCACCTGGCGAAAGCTCCGTGATGTCCTCCTCCACTGGCCGATGTGGGTGTTTGTCGTACCATATGTGTAAGACTCTCCCAGATGTGGTTTGTTATCAACCTGTCTGTTGACGTTCTGGCGACAGTTCGTACGTGTTAGCGCTGCACATTGCCTCGTACATGAATCTCTGGCTCAAGGCATTGAATATCTACTCCGTGGCCCAAGTCAACGTCATCCCATCAGGAGGCTATGCGATCGAGATTGTGATGGCCTTGGTCTATGCGATTGCCTCTGACGCCCTGGGCATACGATGGCCCATTATCATGATCGGAGCTGCCTTGGGTTTGCTGGGCGGGATTCTGCTTGCAGTGTGGGAGATCCCGTTTGGGCTGAAGTACTTTGCGTGGTTCCTGACCTTTGCCCCGGTGGGCACGGGCGCGCTGCTTTTCGCGTGGGGGAACGAACTCTGCGGACACAGCGCGGAAGAGCGGGCTATCTTGTTGGGGTGGCTCAACACGATGGGGTGAGTGTGATATATCCAAGGTGACATAGCCTGTTTTTCGACACTAACCGGGAATGAACAGCTACGTCTTCAACGCCTGGGTGCCGCTTTATGCTTATCCTGCCAGCGAAGCTCCAAGATATAAATCCGGCTACAAAGTCAACGCGGCATTGTGGGGGATCTATCTGGTGGGAATCCCTGTTATCTTGTGGTTCTCGAAGCGGTTCCCTCCGAGCAGGTCCAAGCAACCGGACGCGGAGGCAGAGGTGGTGTATATCACCGACGAGAAAGAGAAGGAGACCAGAACCAATAATGCAACTGCGGAGACCACTACGGAGGTGAAACTATAGATAGACAGGCAGAGTTAAGGCAAGACATACCAACATACATATAGTAATAATAATAAATCAGACATTTTGCCTTTCCTTTCCTTTCCTTTCTTTTCCTTTCCTTTTCTTTCTTCATTTTTTTTTAAAATTTTATAACAATGAGCCCTACTACCCCAATGTAAGTAATATCCAAAACAGAAAATGATCTCACCATTTCTCCTTCTCCTTCCTCTCCTTCTTCTTATTTTTGCAAAAGGACTAGATCCTTTCTTTCCCTGTCGGACAACATGGAAAAGTTAAGACTACAAACAATCTGTATTCTAACTATTAGTTAGGGCTAGGGTTAATACTGCGGGCGATTATCAAGATCGGCGCTAGTCCCGGACTGCTTATCGTGTGGCCCGTGCGCAGCCAAAATAAACAACATTAAGTATGGATCGGTGATTCTGTTAACTCTCACAAGCTTGAAGTGAGCTTGTTGCAGTGATGGGCCGCGTTTGTTCGGAAATAACTTGGTTTGAAGAAGACAAATGGATCGGATCTGAAGTCGTTTTTGATCGACCCAGTCCATCGAGATGGAGGCTGGACCGGAAAGTCTCCGAGACTGAAAGCTGCGCGACTGAATATGAAGGCAGGGAGTACCATGATCCCTCCCAAGCACGAGGCGTTTTTGCGTGCTCAAGGGTTGGGGACTCGGCCCAGAAGCTGTGATCAAGATTAGGATGCAGTGCGCGGCCCCGTTCCCTGCTCGGGGGCCTTCGAGATCTAAACCGTGTCTTCTTTAGGATACCGTATCTGGACACAGTCCGCAAGTCTCGGGAGGAGTGGGCAAAAAGGGCAAAGCCAGATATAGACATGTTTTCGGAAAGCGAGATCAGCGCGCTCGACCATTCGACCAAGGCAGGCTGTTTGTCGACGCCAGCACTGTTTGCCTGGAAACACGAGACCCAAGATAACAACGGTTGGGTCCCAGGGGGTTATATTGACTACATCTTGATGGAGAAAGCCCCAGGGATCCGCCCACGCTATATTTTTGCCACAATGGATCGGCAAGAGCGTGATCAGCTTCGAGCAGCGTTCAAAGAGGCATGGTTGTAAGTTGTTCTGCACACTATCCATTCCTCAGCGGGAAGGGTAGAAATGAAAAGCTCTGACTCATAATGTTTACCTTGGCAGAGAATGTATTGCCTGTGGGATGGACCACCAAGACTGCGGTGTCCAGAATCTTGTCTGGGATCGTGAAAAGCGGAAATGGTAAATATATCCCAACCTACGAGATTCCTATAGGTGTTGCATGGCTTTCTGCGTCACCTGGCTTGCTGACGGAGAATTTTTGGTCCATGCAGTTATATCGTAGACTGGGAGTCATGGGGGAAAGCCACTGCTAAACAGGTTTGGAGAGATCGAGAGTATATATCATGGAACCTAGGCAGGGTTCGAAATGGCAACCGAGAAGACATGTCAACATGGGTTCTGTGATTTGCCCGAGGATGAAGTCGAGCCTGGGAATCAGGGCTTTCACTCCTTCCGTACTTTCATCTGGTGACTGGAGACACTTAAAACACCCGTAACACACATGGCGTAGGGCACGGCTCACGCGGGTGAGCAATGAGTGGGTGGTCGGAGGAAGTGGCGAAACGTGGAGGTCATTTTCAATACCATAAGAAAACCCATGTAACACGGAGTTTGGGCGTTGGGTTGGCATTTTGGTTTTGTCAAGACGGATGGAATACGGATCGGAACTGGCGACAGGGTCAGCTATAAATTCATCCTCAAGACTATATTGAGTAATAATATTTCCAGCGATTTTCCCGCAAAATCATATGCTAGAGAATTTAGGGTTAAAAGGCTGGTCCCAAATTAACAAGAGCACCGCTATTCCTGCCTAGGGTTTAGGGCCCAGGGCTAGGGCAGGTGTTCCCCTTGGTCAACCCTTTCTATACCAGATTTCGTCAATCTATTGTCCTTCGTCGTTGAATCTCTTTACATCAATTGAAAACCAAAAATCTTGCAAAAGAGAAGATAGAGATGTGTGAGAGCAGCGAAGACTCCGGATAATGCTACCCGATCAAAGCGGAGAGGAGAGCATCCGACGTCGCAGATCATTTACTCCACATAGTATAAAACTGTCTTCTCTTGTCCCAGTTTTGAGACTTCATCGTACAGTACATGCATCTGGCCGTTAATAGTTTAAGTTAGTTTACTAGGTACTTCGATTTATCCGGAAACCTGACTGACTATCGTGTTCCCCAGTTTTTTACCCCGCATTGATTAGATGATTAGATCGGTGATCTTCAAGGCCTTTTTTTTCTTGGGATCATCTAATTTTCTATTTAAAAGGATATGTTTCTTTTATAAGAATGCAATGTAGAAAAAGTATTTTTCTGTTATTTCTATCTTAACTATGCAGTGGTTGAGGATTATCACATGATCTCCCCCCAGAATGAAGCCATTATTGCTCTCAATGCTTTCCGCTTTTCTTTTCTCTTCACCAACGCTGTCCTCACCACAAAGCGCGTCCAAAACAGAGAACAGCACAGCAAATACACCAGGGATTCGTCTGATCAACGGCCATGAACACGTTCTGATTCAGCCTTGGGGAGCAGATGGGTTCCGTGTCCGGGCCACTCTGAACAGATTTCCTGACAGTGCGTAGCCACGGAAAACGCATCTTGTTCATCTGACTAATTTCTTACCTGCTGATTGACACTCTGTAGATGAAGCGTACAGCGTCATCATAGATCCCCCTCTGGACGGCCCGCAGACCTCCCCATCGGCACCAGCTACAGCACCATCAATGCGACACAAACCGCCACCGTGACCAACGGCCATGCCTCGGTGGTCGTCGACAAGGGCCAGCTGAGTTTCTATCGCGTAAATGGCAACAACAGTAAAACACTCGTCTTGCAGGAGCTGTGGCTACAGACACCGGGATTCCCAGCGCGATGGTATCAAAAGAGAGATGCAAGACGGGGCTTTCGAGCGCAGTTCAGCTTCGTCGCGCCCGACAGTCCCACGGAGCGGCTGTTTGGGACGGGCCAGGATCTGACGGGCTCTCTCATCAAGAAGAATCAGACCATCGACTTGGTCAAGTTCAACACGCTGAATCCGATTCCGACAATCGTGTCCGATCGAGGGTATCTGTTTTTCTGGAACGTGCCTTCGCTTGGGCAGATGGAGTTGTCTCCAACGAGGTATGCATCAGCAAAATTTGAGGAACAGGATCATTTCTAATGTCAATATTAGAACCAGTTTCCTGAGCGATCACACTTCAGTGGTGGACTATTACATTGCCATTCGCCCCGAAGCCGACTATGACGGCCTGCTGCAGCGGTACACCAGTGTCACTGGGAGATCGCCCATGATTCCTGATTTTGGCACCGGATACTGGCAGTGCAAGCTCCGTTATGCGACTCAGGAGGAGCTCCTCAATGTGACTATGGGATTTGCAGAGGTCAGACCCTTTGGAAATGATAAGACTGTTTCTGCTGACTTGTTTGCAGCGAAAAATACCTGTTTCGATGTTCATCATCAACTATCTCAGCTGGTCTCACGAGGGTGACTGGGCTCTGAACGCATCGGCGTGGCCAGATCCGGCGAAGATGGCCGCAGAGGGTGAGAAGAGTCATTTCTACCAAGGTGTTGTAGTCTGACTGGAGCCGAACTGATGGCATCCGTCTGGCCCAGTATCGAGGACGCCAGTCCCAACTGGGCTGAAATGCAGAGCTTGGGTTTTGCCGCGCAGACATTCGATCCTCTCGATATTGCTGGCTACTGGCAGAACAAATACGTGCATATGATCGATCCTACCAATGCAGCAGCCAGGGACTTCCTCTGGAGTAACCTTTACCGGCATTACTAGCAGAACGGGATCCGAAACTTCTGGCTCGACGAAGACGAGGGAGGCCAGGTCGCGCTCGACGTCTACCCGTGGACGGACTATTACCTGGGTCCGGGGGATCAGTATGCCATGCTGTTCCCCTACTTTCATCAGATGGGGGTTTTTGAAGGACAGATGAAGACAGTGGGGTCGAATAATGTTTCCGCTGTGTCCCTGTCGCGGTCCTCGTGGGTGGGCTCCCAGCGTTTTTGCCGGCGCAGTGTGGAGTGGAGATATTTTGTATGTGTTGCACACTTTTCAATAATGTAACCTGCTGATTCTGGTCAACAGCGCCAACTGGGATTCCATGAAGATGATGATATCCGCAGGACAGAGCATGGCCATGTCAGGGCAGGGTTGGTGGACTTTGGACATTGGAGGCTTCAAGACAGACGGGCAGTCCAACTCGGCGAATATTAGCGACCCGGAGTACCAGGAATTGTTTGTACGGTGGCTGCAGTGGTAAGCATTTGAATACTCCATTTCCTGTATTGATAAGTAATACGTACAGGGGAACCTTCTTACCGGTGCGTAAATGAATGCCCTGTTGGCAATTCACCAACTGAACTTGACGTAGATTATGCGCAACCACGGAATGAGAACCTGTCTCCCTTCAGCACAGGAAGGCTTCCTGACCTGTCCTAGCGGTACAGACCCGTGCCATATTTTTATAACCCAAATAAGTATCTACTGACACTGTCAAACTTCTAGAACCCTGGAGCTACGGCCCCGACAACCTCCCCATCATCGTGTCCTACATCAACCTCCGATACAAACTGCAGCCCTACATCAAGGCGCTCTTCCGGATGCTCTCCGAGAGTGGACGGGCAATGATGCGGCCCCTGTTTATGGATTTCTCTCTCAGCGATCCTTACACTTTGGAGGCGACGGAAGATCTGAAATTGCAGTACATGTTTGGGCCGCGCTTGCTCGTCAGTCCCGTCACAACGTATCGCGCGACGAATGCGACCGTCTACCTGCCAAAATTGCCGTCGGATGCTCCCGATACGAAATGGACGTACTGGTGGACGAACGAGAGTTTTGACGGTGGTCAATGGGTGAGTTGTCTCTCTCTTTTTTGATAGCCAGTTGACTGACATTAATTTCTCAGGTCACCGTTCCTGCGAACAAAAGCATGTAAGTATTCAAATCACGTACACATGCAGCTTCGAATTGAAATATTCCTGTCTGACCTGAGCTGATCTGCATGCAGAATTCCGCTCTTCCGACTCGGCAGCGAAGCAGACATCTTGACGAGGAACATCTAATAGCCTCAATACTATAGATTCAACAGCAAGGGCCAAGGGTCAAGAGTGACCAACTGGAAGGCTGCTAATTAAGTAATTAGCTATTGATCAATCAGTACGGAGGGACCTAGGGGGACCAGCTAGCCCTAGCTACCAAGGGTGGAGTACATAGGTGCCAGGTATTTATTTCATCCATTTCTCGTACTCCTAACCCAATCTAGTAACACTTACGATGACCTGTTTAGTTTCAAAAATTAGATCCAAAATAACTATCAAATGAAGAACGTCGATTCAGTCGTGTTCGCATGTGAATCTCTCCTACAGGCTACCCCACATTGTATGTCCTTTACGGAGTACAGTACTGCAAATGCGGAGTAACCGGCTGTTCCCTCTCTTGACGGTAGGTTAGGTCATTACTCAATCATTGAATCTTCTTACCTGGATAAGTAAGTGTGTACATGCATGTACGGTATTACCTAGGGGCCTATCCCAGGTGGAGGAGAGGCTAAAACATACCTAATTAAGATAGATCCTGGTCTATAGGTATGTACTCCGGAAATTCCCACATGTCAATGTCGATATACTAAATAATTTCTCCGCACAATATGGAGTATGAGTACACTACGCCAGTTCTTGGCTAGTTCCCTAAATGCGTGGTTTATATACATAAGCAGGGGTTAGTCAGGTCGCCCTCTGAGTATATATTATAGACTGCCTGCGACGTGTGCAATTCCTTTGCACTCTACTGACTGACTGACTGCCCTGCTGTATTAGCTAGTACAGACTCAATTCACCATGGCCAGGATACCCTCTCTTCTCCTTCCTCCCCTCCTTCTCCTAGTCGCGCAAACAACCGGCCTGAGCACAGTCAACCTGGTGAATTCGACAGTGCATTTCGATATCCATTAGGGAGCTGTCGAGGCCAAACCGATCGATCGGCAATTGATTAGCTTGTCTATCGAGTGAGTGCAGCCAACGACGTGCCCGAGACAGTGAAAGACACAATTTTACTGCCAATTTTATGGGGCGCATATGTTGATCGATTGTCAGGTTCTGCTACATTGTTGACTTCCTCGGCGATGTCGGCCACCCGAACCTGTTCTCGCGACAGCTGCTGTAGAACGTCGCGGACCGGTCCGGCGTTCTTCCCATTCTGCGACTGGGCGGCGACACAGCGGACCACAGCGTGTTCAGGACAATCTCACAGAGACTATGTACAATATCTTTGAGCCCGGCAATGCCGAGGCCGTCAATACGACGTACAGCAAGCGCCTGTTCCAAGTGCTGGCGCAGAACTCGGGGCCGGAGCAGACGTATATCTTTGGGCTGAATCTGGGGTCTAGTCTGTCTTTCCTCTTAACTCCAGCATTTAATTTCAAGACTAAACATTTTATTGGTATCTGTTCCAGATATATACGAAATCGCTCACGCAGAAATCACCGCTGCAGCAACGTACCTCAACCAGTCGCGCATCCTGGCATACGAGGTCGGCAACGAGCCTAACCTGTACACCTACACTGGACTGCGCAACGCGAGCTGGAACGTCCTGGAATATGCAGACGAAATCCTCGACTGGATGCCCCGGTTGAGAGAGGCGGCTGGCGGCCAACGCTTCCCCGGGTATCAATTCGGCACCATCGCTGAGCCGCCCAGCGCGTTTGGCGACTTCACGCAGGTGCAGCTGGCGGTCATGGGCGTGCCGCAGGCGATCGGCAGCGTAAGGTATATAGCTTCGCATACGTATCCGCAGAATGTCTGCACTAGTAAGTTGCCCTACATACAGTTCCTTCTCTGAGCCTTTGTCTTGTATGCTGATATGATACACTCGACACGACCAGCCCAGCAAGCCGCCGCCGTGACAATCGACTACTACCTCAACCACCTCAACACAGTGACCTACTTCGCCAACTGGGTGGACGAGATCGCCGCGGCCGAGTCTCTCGGCCTGCCCTTCCACATGGGCGAGACCGGCACGGCGGGCTGCCACGGTAAGGACGGGGTGTCGAACACGCTGGGCGCGCTGCTACGGGAGATCGACTACGCGCTGTACGCGACGACGCTCGGGATGCGGCGTCTCTTCTTCCACAATGGCGGGGGTGGAGTCTTCTACTACTCCATGTGGGAGCCCGTGGCGCTGAATGCGTCGAGTCCGGCGCATGTCAATCCGACGTATGCCCCTCAGATACACATATAGCTGTGCGTGCAACTCACTTACTCACTTGTTTTATAGATACTACAGCATGCTCTTCCTCGCAGACCTCACCTCCGACCTCCCCACCCCTCGAGTTCACCGCCTCCGCCACCTAGACACCTACGACCTAGCGCACTACGCCATCTACAACGATCAAACCTTCACCAAGCTCGTCATCCTCAACACGCACCTCTACAACGACACCAGAAGCACCGCTGCTGCTTCCCGACCCGAGAAATTCGTCAACGTGTCTCCCGTTCTCGGCCAGCGGGTGCAGATCCGGCGGCTGACGGGGCCGAGCTCGGTTGCAAAAACGGGTGTCACGTGGAAGGGCCAGTATGTTAGTGATGCTAACTGTACGGTGGTTAGGGAGGAGGTCGTGGAGAGGGTCGCGGATGGGGTTGTTAGAGTGGCGGCTTCGGAGGGTGTTGTTGTTCAAGTTGACAGGACGTAAGTCATATAGCCATACATACTGTGGTATTGGCTATGTGTGTATCTATATCCATGCCTATATCAGTGCTTACATGGTATTGTAGCCTATCTAATCAAGGTATATACCTTGTTATAAGTATAGCAGCAGATTATTAAACTGGCGTAGAGATCTATCTATCTATCTAGGTCATGGGCCATGGAAGCCTTGGTTCATTCATAATAGTGATCGAAATCAGTTGCATCTACACCACATTTTGCTTTAATTTTCTGCATTAGTTTTACTGTTGTTTTATAAGTCTAACCAGCCTGATATCTACTCTATTCGCACATCTTCCAGTGGAGGTGTATGCGGGCATTCCTCGCTTAGCCTCCTGCATTCTCACTTCTTGGTGGAAACAGTCAACTCCATTCGATGTTACTGGGATGAGTAGAGATTACATATACAGATCTATCCAGCATCCAGTCTAGTCTTCTAGTCTAGTCTGTCACTACAACTCCAACGCCGCACAGTCCTCGACCGGCTTCAATCCAAACGCCCTTCGTCCGCCTTGCCAGCTCCACGCCACGGCTGTCCTGGCAAAACTCCGCAACGTGTCTTCGTACTCCCCTATCAGTTTGGCGTCCACCTTGTCGACTCCCCCAATCTCGACAATTCGCCGCGCAAGATCCGCCGCGTCCCGCAGCGCCGTGTTGGCCCCGACCCCTCCCGTTGGCGGCATGACGTGGATCGCGTCTCCAAGCAGCGTGACTCGTCGCGAGGGCTCCCACGGCGGCAGGTCCGGCTGCACGGAGGAAATGCGCAGCGTCGACGTCTGCGAGACGTCCTGCGCTTCGAACAGCGCGCGGATTGACGGGTGCCATTTCTGCGTCATCGTCAGGGGCAGTTGCGCCGACTGCTCGTGGTCCAGTCGCAGTGTCTGCTCGTCCGGTAACGGAACGAGGTCGCGATGCGCAGCAAACACCCAGTAGACGTAGTCGTCCGGCAGTTTGACCTGCAGGTCCTCTGCATCGTCACGGCGGAAGCGCATCGGCTCGAACAGCAGCGTCTTAGGAGCGGCCTCGTCGGCGCGGTCCAGAGCTATCGCCATGCCCCGGAGGGCAACCGGCACGAATCGCCTCTCGAACTCGGCGGTCAGCGGCGTCTTGCCGTAGACGATGCGCATCTGCGTGTCGATGAGCGGGCATTGTGGCAGGAGTTGCCTGCGGACCTGGGATCGCAGCCCATCGGCGCCCACGAGCAGCGCACCTTCTTCGACGGTGCCGTCGCTGAAGTGAGCGCGGACTCGGCCGTCGTGCACCTCGTAATGCGTCAGTTGCTTGCCGAAAAACACCTCCTTCCCCTCCTCGAGCCCCGTCAGAAGCACCGCGCGGAAGGTCTTCCGGTCGACGGAGAACGGCTGGGGACGGCCGTCGACCGCGGGACGCGGGCCGGCCCCCAGGGCTGCTGTCGTTGCTGGGTCGAGCTGGTTGCCCGTGATAGCGTCGAGTCGCACGCCCATAGGGTCAAATTCAGCGGAGGACTTCTCGAAGAGGGCCCAGAGGTCTGGCGTCAGGGCATACTGCAGTGCGAGGACGCCCTCGCCGCTGATGCGCACACGGTAACCCTGGGCACGAAAGTCGCGCTGGCCGTCTTTTTCGAACAGCTTGAAGGGGATGTGGTGCTTCTTGAGGGCCTGCGCGAGGCAGAGACCGCCGAGACCGGCACCAATGATGAGCACAGACATGACAGTAATGATGAACCGACAGCGAATATTCTATAACCTGTGGATAAAAAAAAATATTCAGGCCTAAGAATAATCAATATCCTGTTAGCCGGACTATATCACACTCTGTACGGACGTACCTGGTTAGGCCACCTGTTATCGCAGCGCAGTCAGCTGATTGAGCCGAGCTGAGCTGCACAAATAAACCTGGTGGCAGCTAGTCAGCGCCTGTTGGCGGTATACATGTACATCGTCCTGTACGGAGAATTAATGGGGAATTTCAGGCTCAATGGCATGATAAATACACGAGTATTGCGATCCTGTTTGGTGGTGGCTGGTTCCTCAGCTGTGGTACGCTTGCACCCCACCGGAAATGCTCTGGTGGGGTTCGTTGTCATGCTGTCTTTGGCACGGTAGAAGAAAAGAAGGAATAAAGAAATAAATAATTCTGCAAGACTAAAGCCACTTCACGGCCTCCTAGGACTTCTTAAGGGTTTATGGCGGTGAGTTGCTCCTTCCCTGTCAATGCATTCCCGGCGGGGGTGCAGCAGGAAGGAGCGACTCACGCGCTGGCCTGGAGAGAAAGAGCGCTCGTCACCTGACATGGCATGAACAGTCATCGGTGGAATCGGAGATATCTCATTTCATATGCTCTATACTACATGATCATAACAGAGGCGTATATAGAACAGAGATACACGCTAAAACTCCACCTGGAACCGCTTGCTCGTCCGGATTCGCTCTCCGAACAACCAGAAGACGATCGGCAGCGGCGCCAGCGCAACGGCAATGAACCCCAGCAGCGAATTCCCCCAGCCCAGACCCAGCGTCTGGTACATCTTCCCGCCTGCCAGCGGCAGGACAGCTCCCATCAGCGATCGGAACACCGTGTTGGCTGCCATGGCAGACGCCGAGTACACGGTGTAGGCGTCGACCAGGTAGGTGGACGTGGTCATCTAACACCAGTTAGACACGGAACTGCATAGGCTGCCTCCAGGTGCTGCACTTACAAAGGCGATCAACATCCCGATCCCCATGAACGCCGTGCCAATGATCGGCAGGATCCAGTGATCCTTCTTGTCTGCCGTCCATCCGTACCAGAACAGCGCCAGCGGGATGAACCACGCGCCGACGATCATCGGCGGCAGACGGTACTCTGGCTTGGCCACTCCGCCGTTCTTCGCCGTCAGGTACTTCAGCAACCGGTCCGACGTCGCCCCCAGCACAAACAGCCCGATCATCGACCCGATCCCAATCCCCAGGTACGCCAAGCCCACGCTTCCCTGCGAGAAGTGATACTGCATCTCAAAGACATCCGTGATCGTGGTGAAGAGCAGATACAAGTACCCATAGATGACAGCCACGTAGAGCGACAGGAGAAACACAATCGGTGAGAGGAAGAGCATCTTGGTCGGCCGCACGATGGACCAGGCAAACAGATCGCGCGGCGAGCGGCCCGTGTCCAACACAGATCGCAGGTTTGGGTTGCCTGTCTCCTTCCGCAAGCGTTTGGTCTTGCGGTCTAGGATTATATAGGCGTAGGACTCGCGCATGAAGACGAGCGTGTTGATGGTGACCGCGCCACTCTGTTCAGTCCGCGAGTTAGGCGGATTGTCATCGATTTGAGTCAGGGGAGATCGAACATACCGCTATTGCCAGCACCCAAAAGGTCCATCGCCAACCTTTGGCCTGCGTCAGATAGCCACCCGCTGGAGATCGTTAGCAAGAGAAACTCAAAGAAGAAATGAAGATCCTTACCAACAGGACCTATCACCGGCCCTAACAGAGGCCCCAACGCCCATGCCGCCATCGCACCGCCGCGCTTCTCCTGTCGGATCATGTCCGACAGCGAGCCTGCACCGATCGTCAACGGGCAACTTCCCGCGAGGCCGGCGAACAGTCGAAAGACAATCAGGCTTGCCAGGCTGGGGGCCACGGCGCAGGCCACGTTGAACACGGTGAAGAGCACATTGCAGACGTTGTAGATCGGCATGCGGCCGTACAGTTCGGACAGGGGGGCGATCACCAGCGGGCCAAAGCAGTATCCGAGCAGGTAGACAGACACGACGAACGAGGCGAGGTAGACGTTGTCCGACTTGAAGTCCTTCATGACGTCTGGCACGCCAGGAGCGAACATCGAGGAACCGAGGGGGCTGCGCAGGTCAGCAGTCTATCCGAAAGTCATCCATCGGTCGAACCACATACGTCAGCAGTGTGATGACCGAAATCGTCGCCGTCGCCACAAACTTCTTCCGGAAGGGCCAGTTCAGCGGGTTCATGGGGTCATCAGGGCCATCCCAATCGACAAGGTTCGGATCTCGAGGACCCGACCGGTTGTCGTCTACCGGAGTCGAGCCGCGTTCGACATCCTCGCCCTCTTGTCGGTATCCGATCTTCTCGTCAACGCTGTTCTGTGAAGGATGCTCCTGGCCATCTACGGCTACCTCCTTGGCCGGCACGTTGACGTCCGCGATTGTGGACGATTCTTTGATCCAGGACCAGTCAGCATAATTCTGCTCTTGCGAGGTTTCTTGTCGACCAACCGGTCTTGACGATAAACATACCCTTGCTGTCTGACATTTATCTAACCACGTAGAACAAGAAATCGACAGCCAGTTAATATGTTTGCTTCTCAACAGTCGCGGCGAGGGCCAGGCCGGAGTCGGTCCTGTTGAGGTTCTTCCCCAGCGTGGGGAAAGCAACTTCTCCACTCGAGAACCAGCTTATTCGCCGGGGAATTTAGCAATAAATCGCGTGGAGCCGACCAGGCGCGCAGGCTTGAGACAATAGACCGCGCTGGAGGGAAATGAGGCAAATGGGTGCAGAACGGTCTGCAGGTGACAGACTGGGCAAGGAGTCGAAGTGACACCATATTGTGTCAGGGTATTCCATCTAATATAGTAGGCCAGGCCAGCGTCGACCGCACCGCGCTTAACAATAACTCCGGAGTACGGAGTATAATAGTATAGATCCACTAACTCCGAGAAATTTATTTTGAACGCAGCCAGAGCCAACTCCTCGCTCCTGCTATTAGTTAGTAGCGGCGAATAGAGGCGCGATGGCGGCATCAGGGCGGTTCCGAAGGCGTGGCATAACGCGGCGCATGGACGCCATGTGCAGGCAGGGTGCACAACAGCCCAGCATAAATGAAGGACGCGGGGTCATTAGTCAGGCGCATGCACAATAATGCAAGCTCTCTCGACAACGGAGACGGAGGAGCTGACACCCGGTCGCGTGTGCATAACTCTCGTCCACAAGAAAACAAGCATTTGGCAGGTCGGAACTGAAGCTTAGCGCATCCCCCTGATTGGCTGACAGTCCACACGTGACCGGCATGTCGGCAGTTCTCCGTGTTTCGGCTCACCTCCGGTGAATATCCGTTTGGGTAAAGCCTGAGGATTCGGAGTATGAAGTCAGAATGCTGCTTCTATTTTTGCAGCACCTCAGACATACCATGCGCTGTCATTGACCAATGGGCTCAAGACGAGAAGGATGGTTAAGGCCATGACTGACGAAAAGATAACCAGCGAGAAATGTATACGCTGTACTGTACATGAGCAGATGAGGGTCATATGTATTTCATACATATACACCTTTTTCACTACTAACCTGGCAGCTAGCCTCACACTGAATTATGTTTTTTGGTCTCTCGCCTCACACCAAGTTATAGATGGTTTCGAGATACGTCTTATGTTCTTCCCAGAATGTAATATTGTCATGGAGTAAGTATAGTAGGTAGATTACGAAGTTGTACTGTACTGTAGTTTGATTGAATCAAACTGTGGGCGGGAAAAAGGGGTCTTTTCAAAAAAAAAAACAAAAGATACTATTAAGACATTACTCAGAACAGGACGGCATTCATGGGGGAAAAAAAGTGAAAATCGTCAATCTTTTTAACTGAAATGCTAGTTATTTAGACATCATTTCTTCTTCCTTTTTTTTCCCCCTTGTAGACAATGGGCTTGTTTTGATCCTTAGATAGAATTAATTAAGTTCATTTTCTTTTAACTTTTTGAAGAGACTGTTCATAAACTGTCAATTCGAGGAGGTCTCCAGCAGGCCGCTTTCCACGTTATGGTATTGATTTTTACGGTTACTTCTTACTCGTACCTAAAATTATAGAAAAAAGACATTGGAATTACATGCCAAATGTCACGTAAGAAGAAAAAAATAAAAATAAAATGACCATGAATCGTCAAACTGGTAGTTATATTTTGAAGAAAAAAAAGAAAGAAAGAGATCTTGTCATTTGCCTATCAGACACCAATATTAATAATTATTTCACTTCAGATCAATGTGATATGTGGCACCTTCGAATAACCTCCACACAGTAATGCAGGCAAACTAGCAGTAAGCTATAAAATGTTGAAACCCAGTGTGGCGTGCAGCGACATCGACGCCCTACCTTTACAGTATGTAGTTGGATCCTCCACCTCATCACGTGTGGAAGGTCAATCATTGAAGCACGTGGACTGTCCTTTTCCTACACTGACCGTCCGTAGTAAGTAGTCTAGAAGGTACATTGCTCCTTATACATACTTGCTTGACAGCATAACGCGTCAATAGTAGCATGCAGTTACCGTGATATATCAGCTTTCTCTTTTTTAATAGGTAGCGTTGGCGTCAAATCTTTGATTCATACTATGGGTCACCAGAGTCAGTGTTAACAGGCCAGGCAAAAAAAAAATAGCATGAAACTGATTTAAAACTGGTTTTTAAATGATCCACGATCGAACTTGACATTCCTTCTCTCTTGGCAGTCAGTAGTAGAACAAGACCTCGCGTAAAATCCTGGCTAGTTTAATAACCACCTGCAACTTAATACTACAACTCCTTTTGCCGATTGGCGCGATTGCCGAGATTAGTTCTAGGAATTGTTACTCTTACGGAGTAGAGGTACTCCGTACTCAGTAGATCAGTTTCCCTTAGGTTTCTTGCCGAGCCAGCCACAAAAGAAATTAAAAATAGACTGACAAAGTCAAATGCACCTAAGGTGGTTTGGGCAAGGCGTCATGCGCAGATCTGCCCATCGACTGGACTTGACCGCGACTTGCAGTTACGGGGCTGGCGGCTGGCCACATGCGGCTCTCTTCAATTGGCCAGTCATATTCCTCTTAACTTGGATCAATCCATTTTCTACGCACAGTTGCAGTTGCAGAGTTTGTTGCAGAGAGTTTTTCAGATAATACAGACGGCAGGCTGTGTAATTGCGTATTACGTACGGATACAGCTTTAGCACCAACTTGGTGATTGAGACACGATTGGGTCATTGACAGGATTTTGTATATGTTGAGGTAAATAGAAGTCGAAATTCTACACGTCTATGCTACTGGACTCCGATGCGGTAGGACAGGTTGGAATTTGAGGGCCCGACTCGGAGTAACCGCAGAACATCGCAACCCAACCTCGCTCCCAGTGGAATTCCAGAAAGCCCACTGACTCCATCCCACGACAGCGACATCTGATTAGATTGATTAGATTGATACGATGCGACCCTGCCCATCTGCCCCCACATCGCCGAAAACGAAGGAGCGCCGGTGCCGCCGCTCCCGCCCCGCTCCTTTCCGCGAACGGCAATTTCGTCTTCCCTTCGTCCTCCTCGTCGTCCTCCTCGTCTTTTTCTTCTCATTTTTACGCCAGGAAAACGTGGGGTCGGATCGAATCGACATGCCGCAGCTTGTCGATCTGTCTCTCGATCCATTCTGGTTTGCTAACTCGTCACGAGCGCTGGGAAGCTCGCTATTCTTACTGGCCAGCAGCCGAGGGTCGTTCGGATCGATCGGCCTGCCTTGGACTTGAAGACACAATTCTATGGCCTCCTAGCTCGACAATTGGCTTTGGAAGGACGTAATGAACATCTCATCTTCATACTATCTCATCTTCTTCTTGTCCGGTTCTCTATCGTCGCATATATTCTGCCGACTCCTGGCTCAACCACACTACTTCCCTCTTCCACATCAGTTTCCTCACTGACAGCACTTTTCTCACACCGCGACGTGGCCACAGACCACGTACCTCAATGACTGCCTCAGTTCAGGACCAGGAGAAGACTCCTGATCTCCAAAATGCCGACTGCGAAGCGGTACCGGTCGATCGTGCACAAGTGGACGAAGACAAGGAGCCCATAAGCCACGAGTTCGTCGACCGGGAACATGCCCAACGGGGTGTCCAGAAAGCCGCCGCAATCACCGCTGCATGGAACAAAAAGTCTTTGATTCTGGCATATGCTGGGTATGAGCGCGACCTATCTGTGTACCACTGACGACTAACTCACCGGCAGGATCTTCCTTGTATTCTACGTGAACTCGCTACAGCAGCAGATCAGCGGTAATCTCACCATTTATGTGACCAGCTCCTTCGCAGAGCATCCCCTCACGGCGACAACCAGCGTCATGTCCAGCATCATCGGCGCTGTCGCCAAGTTGCCCATTGCCAAAATCATCGACATCTGGGGCCGTACGGAAGGCTATGCTTTGATGGTTCTCCTGGCCACTTTGGGTATGCAATTACAATCGTGATCGGCGAAAAAAAATTTGCTGACTGAAGCCAGGATTGATTATGATGGCGGCATGCAACAATGTCCAGACCTACGCCGCGGCTCAAGTATTCTACTGGGTTGGATATGACGGAATTGCTTATGTCCTGGATGTCACCATGGCGGATACATCCTCCCTCAAGAATCGAGCATGGATCTTCGCATTCAGCACCTGCCCATACATCGCCAACACCTTCGCCGGTCCCGCAGCCGCCCAACAATTCTACAAACATAGCTCCTGGCGCTGGGGTTACGGATCGTTTGCCATCATCGTCCCAGCAGTTTGCACTCCATTGATCATCATCTTCGTCCTGAACCGTCGCAAAGCCGCAAAGCTCGGCTATGTGTCCAAGGAGAAGAGTAACAGGACGGTGTGGCAGTCGGTTCTCCACTATGCCATTGAGTTTGACAGTCGGTCTCCAACGTCTCAACCAAATGATCACTTACTGACTAGACTTATCAGTTGTCGGTGTCATCCTTATTTCTGCTGCATTCGCCTTGTTCCTCCTCCCGTTTAGCCTTGCCTCTTCGTCGGCGCAAGAATGGAGGACCCCTCATATCATCGTGATGATCGTTCTGGGTGGCTTGCTGTTCCCCGTGTTTGTGGTTTGGGAAAAGTTCTTTGCTCCCGTCTGCTTTGCCCCGTTCCATCTCCTCATAGACCGGACTGTCCTGGGCGGCTGTCTCCTAGGAGCAATTCTATTTATAAGCTTTTAGTATGCCTTTTTTTTTGGGTCAAAGTTGAAGAATTAACTAACGATGTCGCAGCTGCTGGGATATATATTTCACTTCGTTCCTCCAGGTCGTTTACAATCTCAGCATTGCAGATGCCGGCTACGTCTACAACATCTACAACATCGGTTCATGCTTCTTTTCCGTTCTAGTCGGATTGTCAGTACCTGATTCTTGTTCTTTTTGTCCTTCATCGCTGATTGTGGCAACAGTGTGATTCGCGCGACTGGCAACTTCAAATATGTCGCCCTTGCTGCCGTTCCCCTCCAGATCCTCGGGACCGGCTTGATGATCTATTTCCGTCAACCGGACAAGGGTATCGGGTACGTTATTATGTGCCAGATTTTCATAGCCCTGTCTGGGGGAACGCTCGTTATTTGCGAACAAATGGCTGTGATGGCGGCGGCTGCACACTACGAGGTGGCCGTTGTGCTGGCCCTTGTGGGGTTGTTTACCAGCATTGGGGGTGCCATCGGTCAGACCGTGGCGGCGGCGATCTATACCAACCTCATGCCGGGCGCATTGCAGAAGTATCTCCCCGACGATGCCAAGTCGCAGGCGACGGCCATCTACAGCAGCATCACCACCCAGCTGCAGTACCCGATGGGCAGTCCAGTGAGGGAGGGCATTATCCAGGCCTACCGAGACGTCATGCGCCGGTTGTGCATTGCGGGAGTGTGCTTTTTGCCGGCGGCCTTTGTCTTTGTTCTGATGATGAAGAATATTAACGTGAAAACGGTCAAACAGGTCAAAGGAACTGTGGTCTAGAAGAGCATTCATCACATAGCCAGCCGCTAAATGGCTGGCTTTGAGCATACCGCTGTTGCAGGAGGCTTTCTGTTGTTTCTTTCATCTTTGTTTTGGAGGAAATATCATTAATTTCGATTCCCGGCACTATCCTTAGAGGAGTGGATAGGATTGAATGATGTAAATTATTCTCATAACACTCTCTGACCGTATGTACGAATTCGGCTCAAGTTTATGCCACGCTTAGTAATTGCGCTGAATCCGGCAATCGTCCCATAACCGACGGTGATTCGTCCATGCTTAAGGACACCGCTGCACGTGGTTTGGTTCTCACTTTGACAAGAGAACGCGAATACCCATAGAAAGCTGCCACCAATATACCTACATAGGTAGTAGGACTTAGAGGGGCCTCGATACAGTGTCATTGTGGGGTATTGGAAAATTACATCATTCTTGTGCCATGTCAAAAGATGAAAATCGCGACGAACCACACAGGCAACTCGGTACTATTAGTATTGTATATACTAGCAGTCAGATGGACTGACTACACAAGCTAGCTTAGTGAACATCATCAAACGCGTTCAATGCCCTTAGTTAGGAACATAGTCATCAACTCTCTTGTGTTAAAGTACTCCGTACCGAGTACGGAGTAGGCAGGCAGTCAGCTGACCGATTACCGAAGATGATGTAATCCCACTATCGCGTGCTTCCCAATCCGCCAATCAGAGTGCGCTGATCCTCTGCCGATCCGGTGCAGGGATTGATTTGATTGGCTTTTATCTCGTATCTCGTAATTCCTCTTAGCAGATCTGGCACGAGCCATGCCGGGGCCCCGGTCAGGCCTTATCTACGCTTGTCGATTGTTGTTATTATTGTTACTTCGCCTTCGCTTATCCATCTATCCTCCTGACATGCTCCCATCACGTCAACTGCCCGACATCTGACGACAACTTTTGGCGGTCGCAGGCCCCTGTCAAGGACCAGGTGGCCGCGATGCACGATCCCCGCACTGCGCCTGCTGAGCAACCTCGGATGTCTGAAAAGCAGGTAAGCAAGCAGCGCTTCCTCCTCAACAGGATCCAATAATATTGACCCAGAACAACTCTCTAGGCCGTCGCGGTCTGTGGTGGTCCCTCCTCCCCACGCTTCTCGAACCGCTTCAAAAAAGTTCTCGTGATCCTTTGGGTTGCATACTGCCTTTACACTCTTTACCGTCACCTCTGCACCATATTTTCACACAAGCACCATGACCGTCAGTTGCAGACCAATGGCGCGTATGCACACGGGAAACTGGGCGCTGTTGCGAGCGAGAGTGCGATATGCAGTCGCCACGGGATCGAGATGCTCAAGATGGGTGGGAATGCGGCAGATGCGGTGAGTCATACCATCAGTAAATACCGACAGAGAGAGCTCGGATAGGATAGGGCTTCTGAACACTGCTGACTCGAATCCAGCTGGTTGCGACTGTCTTCTGCGTGGGCGTAGTCGGTAAGCAATGAGCCTGTGCCTGGCAGTTATGAGGCTGTCTGACAACTGCAGGCATGTACCACAGCGGTATCGGAGGAGGAGGCTTCATGCTGGTCCGCTCGCCCAACGGCTCGTTCGAGTTTGTCGACTTCCGCGAGACTGCGCCGGCGGCCGCGTTTGAGGATATGTATGAGAATAACACGGCTGGGTCGGTTTACGGCGGTTTAGCGAGGTATGCACTGAAAATATCGGAATTGGCATGAATGAATCAACTAACCATGGAGAAGTGCTGTACCGGGCGAGGTCCGCGGTTTGGAATATCTTCACAAGCACTACGGTGTTCTCCCCTGGGCCACGGTGCTGCAGCCTGCGATTCACACCGCTCGCAATGGCTTTCCTGTCACGGAGGACTTGGTGCGGTACATGGAAGCGGCCGTCGGGGACGGAGAAGATTTTCTCTCCAAGGACCCAACCTGGGCGCTGGACTTTGCCCCCAACGGCACGCGGCTCGGCCTGGGCGACACCATTACTCGAAAGCGATATGCAGATACTTTGGAGACTATTGCCAACCAGGGAGCCGATGCCTTCTACTCTGGTCCGATCGCGGAGACCATGGTTCGAGCGGTGCAGTCTGACAACGGCACGATGACGTTAGAGGACTTGAAAAACTACACCGTGGCGATCCGAGATGTCGCAGAGATTGACTACAGGGGATACAAGATCACCAGCACGACCGCTCCATCCAGTGGGATCGTGGGTTTGAATATCTTGAAGACCGTGGAAGGATATCACCCATTCTTCTCGCCGGAGACTGTCAATCTGAGCACGCACCGCTTGGACGAGGCGATGCGGTTTGCATATGGCAAGGTACTTTCGGATTAATACTGATTCGCTGACGGAGGCTGACCTCTTGAAGAGAACCAGTCTCGGCGATCCGTTCTTCGTCGATGGGATGGACGAGTATCAGAGAGATATGCTGAACGACTCGACCATTCGAGACATCCGCCGACGCATTTCCGATTTCCGCACACAGAATGTGTCGGCATACGACCCTGATGGACTCGAGAGCCTGGATACGTGAGTATCCTTCTGAACTTGTCGTGATGACTTCTGACTGACTGGTTTCAGTCCCGGAACGTCGCATATCGTCGCCTCGGATCATTCTGGATTGGCCATCTCCTTGACGACCACGATCAACCTGCTCTTTGGGAGCCGACTTATGGTGCCTGAGACGGGAATCATCATGAACAACGAGATGAATGGTACGTCTTTAACCGATAATATCTGATCCAGTGTAACACGTGGATCTAAACTTTTATGCAGACTTCTCGATTCCAGGCTCGTCCAATGCCTTTGGATACGTGCCCTCGCCATCCAACTACATCCGACCGGGTAAGCGGCCTCTGTCGTCGATCACGCCCATCATGGTGACACATCCGAACGGAACGCTGTATTTCATCACCGGCTCCGCAGGCGGCAGTCGCATCATCACGGCCACGGTGCAGAGCGTCATCCACGTCCTCGACCAGGGGCTGAGTGCCCCTGAATCGCTGGCCCAGCCGCGGCTGCACGACCAGCTGATCCCCAACCACGTCACGTTCGAGTACGCCTTTGACAACGACACGGTCGCGTTTATGCAGGGTCGCGGCCACAACGTCACCTGGGTGGCAGCGGGGCAGAGCACGGCGCAAGCCATCCGGGTGCTGCCCAACGGGACGTTCGAGGCGGCGGGCGAGCCGAGACAGGTCAATTCGGGGGGGTTCTCGATATGAGTCCTGCGTACCGTACATCTACGAACGAGTGAGGTATATATAGTCAAATTCTGGTATATATGGGCTTATATAGTGTTCTTATATCTAGGCTGGTTCTCAATCAAAGGGGAGGGGACGGGTTTAGAAGATTACCTTTTTGGTGTAGTGTTACCCTTGTATGTCCAGCCAAATTAGTATATGTAGCTTTGCAGCATATAAAGGCCACATTGACCAATAGAGCATATTTTTATCCTTAACAGTTGGTATATAACGCAGGGTCTATACGAATCAGGTGACACCACTGAGGCGCTAACCAGACAGCGGGAGCAAAAATGAACCAACAGCTCTAATTTCTTGACCATGACTCATGAAATACTCAGAGACAGCCTGCAATAATATATAATATTGGTATGTTGGAGGAAGCAGATGATAATCTACTAACAGTCTCGAACATCTACAGCGTTGCATCCATCTGCTGAAAATATTGATTTCAAATGCTTCACAAACTCCCACATGAGATTCTGCTGGAGATCGGGTCATTTCTCGAACAGGACAGTCACATAAAGCTGGCACAAAGTTCAAAATACCTCTATTCATTCTTTCTTCCCCTTATCTACAGCAATGTCTCCCTTGGAATGACCACTAGTTTTTGCGCGGAAGGCTTCTTCCCCAAACCACCGCTGTCCTTACCAGTCGTTCGCTTCACCCAGACAATCCTTCAGAAGCCGCAGCTAGCAAGCCTAGTACACTCGTTAGAACTGTTTACGGATGCGGGCGGTTGGGATGTACCGACTGCAGAACCTCTCCCTTCTGCATTCTACGAGGGCATTGTGCGATCGGCCTGCCGTTCCGAGGGAGAATTCTCGCAGTGGCTGAACGATCTCATCGAAGGAGAGGAGGATGCCTGGCTCGCACTGTTGCTCGTCCGGCTTGAAAATCTGGAGAAGCTGACCCTGCCCCTTCCAGAACCAGAGTACTGCCCACATCTCACACGGATCATTGAACGAGCGGCGGACGCAGAACCCCGGTACTTATCCAACTTGAAAAATGTCTTTCTACGAGAGGGTCCGACCTTCCAACGACAGGGCCATATGACGATCCCCCGTGTGCTGCCCTTCTTTCAGATTTCATCACTACGAAGCTTTGAGGCCTGGGATGTTGCAGGGGGCGGTTGTCGCCTGTTGGAATTGTTCGACGGCACCTCAACTGTCACCAGTATCCAATTGGAGTATGTGACAGCAGGCATATCTTACCGGAGTTGCCAGACTTGATATGGCTGTGTCCACGGCTAGAATCGTTCAAATACAGCTCCGGAAAGCAAGTGTATGATGACGACCCAGAGATCGATGTCTTCAATCCCGTTCCCTTGTATGCACCACTCCGATACACTAAAGAAACGCTAAAAACCCTATCGCTGGAGATGCACGAACTTGTCGATTCATTAGTATGGCAGACTGCAGACTTCCCCACCAGACGGTTTCTGGCTTCTCTATTGGATTTCCCCGCGCTGGAAAACCTATGTATCAGGTTGAGCAACCTGGTGGAATTCCACGGCCCTAGCAGCTGGGACCCCGTCACACCGCTGGTCGATCTCCTACCGCCGTCACTGAGGTTCCTGTACATAGTGGACTTCAACACGGAAGCTCTCCCCCATTGGATCGACGAGCTGAGCGAAGTCGCGAAGCATCGCAACACGCGTTTCACCGTGCTGAAGAGGCTCTTCATTCGCCCGCCTGGGCGGGAGGGCCCAAATGATGACCCGCGCTTTCGCGTCAGGGTCTATACAGGCAGAGAGCGCCATGTTCCACCGCAGATCAACGAGTTGGAGGCTGCCCTTCGCCCGAGGGTTGTCGCGTTGGAGGAGAGATTCCGGGACGTCAGTGTGGAGTTTCGACTCGTTTGTAGATATGAGGTGGTTGAGTTTCCTTAATTGAACATATCTACCTTGAGATAGATATCTATGCGTGTTTTGCAGGTGAATATAATATTCTCTTCTTTCTTCATGGCTGTTGACGCTGCAAGAAGAAAAAGAAGGCTATAATGGTACGTCAGGGGTAAATTCGATGTTCTTTTGATGGCAGGCAAACAAGATTCTGGCTTAAACAAAAAAAAAATTCCTCTATTACCCTGTAACCAAATGAAACAGACAGAAGGGGCCTGAACTTCTCCAGGCGTCTCTCGGAGTATATTCAATAATACCTACCTAGTAAGTAGGTACCTAGGTAGGTAGTTCTGCAGCCTCTTCCATTTTTTTTTTGGCCATTTCTTTTTGGTTCGGTTCATCTTGTTGGTTTTGGGGGGGGGAATTCATTAATTAATGGTTATGATGTTAATTTTTTATTCGGAGAGGATCTTGCTGTACTGTACAGTACTGTGCATACCTATTTGCTCAACTAACTTTTCTTTCAAATCGAATTGAATTGAATTGAATTCTGTGAATTTTTGATTTTGATTTGATGGGTTCAAGCAATGACCGGCTGAAGAAGAATATCAATGATTTATTTATTTATTTGTTCTGGTTCTCTCTCTCTCTTCTTTTTTTTTTGCTCTTCGAATAGTATTTTTATTTATTTCCAATCTTGTTTTTTTTTGTTGGTTGCGGTTTTGTTGATATGTACAACATCAAGTCTCTTATTTTTTATTTTTTTTATATTTATTTTTATAGGTCATACATACATATATAGCTCACTATACGGCCTTTCTCCCTCCCTCTCTCTCTCTTAAGACGGTTTTTTGAGATTGCATAGGTACTTATCTGATAGGAAGGATATCATTGTCAAGAGTCTTAGGCGTTGTTCCTCCTAGGGCATATATATTTGGTATATATAATATATATCTCTAGGAGAACAGATACAGTGATTTACAACGTAAGTGAGGTATACCTCCATCGATTGATTAATCAATGGGGCGTCCAGAGACACTAGAGATTACGTTGTCTGTCCGTCCCTCCTGGAACGGATAGTCTCCATATATATATATATATATACTTTAATAATAAGGGTAATATACTGAATTAGTGTCATGAACAATAATATTATCGCTCTCGTTTGTCCTGATGCTGTCTGTATTTTGTACAGGGTATCGTATCTATCACGGTAATAACAGATGGAACAAAAGCCTAATTCATCATATCCCAGTGACAAGACAAAATCTCCTCTAACAAGAGGCTATTCGTACGTAGACACCTTCACTGGAGACATCTCCAACACCCAATTACCATCTTCCTCATGAGCAAGACACCCTCGCAGCAGCCCGCATCATCTTCTCGCTTGCTCGGGTCCGCTCCCCTGTCTCCCGGTCCCACACCCATCCTTCCTTCAGCCACATCCACGTCAGATACGCCCTTAGCTCCTTGTCCATCGGCAGGACGCGCTTCCATTCCGGCTCAAAGTCCGCTGACGATGTCGCGTTCGTCCCCTTCCAATCAGACGCCAGACCGCGGAGTTCGTCGCGGCAGAAGATCCGCCAGCTGTCGATCGCATAGGCCCCAATCCCCGGCAAATGCGCTATCTCCCATGCCACGCGCGGGTCGTCGTCGTCAATGCACTCGTCCGGACCAACGTCTCGTCCATCGCCCTTCTTGGGGTAATTGAGCTTGCGGTACCGCTTCCCTTTCGTTGGCGGCGCCACCAACCATGTCTTCGCGAGCTCGATGCATTTCTTCGCGCGCTGGTTCTGGAAACCCAGACAGTGGATCGTTTCGACGACGTCTGCCACATTCGCAGCTGCCATCGCTTCGACGGTGGGATACCGCTCGAAGACGCGGAAAAGGACCGGGATGGCAACGCCTCCGCGTGTCCGGTTGAGGAAGATCGTCGCAAGTAACAGGCGGAACGGATCGTGGGCTAGCTGTTCCTGGATCAAGCCAAACGATTCTGCCGATATGGGCGGGAAGGGGAGACACGACTCTGCGTCGCCGGACGGTTTGGGAAAGTAGGGTGAGACTTTTGGAAGCTTTTTGCGAAGTTTCTTCGCCGGCGGCTGGGCGAACTTGGTTGGTGTTTGAGGAACAGAACTTGGATCATCATGCTGGTCTGGAGTATCTTGTGCAAGAGGAGATAAGGGAGGACAGTCGGCAGCGATGGAGCTCACGTCGCTGGGAACGTCGCTTAGAGAAGAATCAGAAGACAATAGCAGATCAAGGAGGGATTGATCGACACCAGCAGGCGCCGTAGCACCGCAAACCGGGGCAGTGGTGATGTCTTTAGCACCCGTTTCTGCTTTGGCCAGTTCACTCTTTTGCGTTTTCTGGTCTGGGGAACAAGCAAAATATTTCGACATCACCTCATCGCCGGCCGTCACGCCTTGCGAATCATCGGTGTTCGAAAATCCGACATGTCCGCACGAGCCGGAGATTGCTCGTCTTGCTTCGTCGCGTTGGAGTTGGTCGCCTGTGGCCGTCCATCCGCCTTTGCAGCACGTTCCTGCGCCTTTCTCTCCCTCAGTCTTTCTCGCCGTCGGACACGTTTTCGATGCGATCTTGCTTTGATGGTCGCTTCGCGAGCCTCCTTACTTTTTGCAGTGTCTGCCTCGCTGCGTTTGCCTGTATCTGCTGGTTTTGATTGCTTGGGGTTCTTTTTCCTGCCGGAAGGGCTGCTGGCTGTGGACTTTCCTTCTTTGCGGTTCTTTGCAAAATGGTGGCTGACTTTGGCTGGTCGTTTAGTTTTTTGCTTTGTGGGCTTCTTGCGATTCTCCACGTTAATGTCGCCAGGAGCTGCATTTTCCTTGTTTTCTCTGCTCTCAGGTGTATCATTAGTGTTCAGCTCTGAGGTCTTGCTGAGATTCGCTTGAGAAAATGTGATAGCTTCTTGAGTAACCTCTATCACCGGAATCGCGCTGGTAGCATCAGACTCCGTACTCAAAGCCGCAGCAGATCCGTCTTCAACAGGAGACTCGTTTTCCAGCATCTGCTTCAGCTTCTTCGAGTTGCTCTTCGTCGCGCCAGAGGAGCCACGTTTTCTTCTTTCTCGTTTCTTTCGTTTCACATGCCCGTGATCCCCACCGATCTCTTCAACCTCAAACGTAGAACCATCATCGTAGTGAACATTTCCCTTGTACAATCCCCTGTATAGCTTCCTCACATATCTGATCACCCGTTGAATGGCTTCCTCGTCCAGTCCAACAGTGGCGGCTTCCGCGCGAAGATCCTGTGTGAATTTGTGCCATTCCTGACGTCGCACGACCGGACCTTCGTTCACAATGAAGGGATGGTTTGCAATGTATCGTGTGAGGCGATCGCGATGCTCCGGGTCCAGCGTGGAAAATAAGCTGGCTTCTTCGAGCAAGGTGGGATCGACATTGTCAGCGGTGTCAGGGCTGGTACCTAGCGTTGAGACATCGACAGCGTCATGACTGGCTTGCTTTGTGGAGGTCTCCTCGTTCAGTGTCAACAAACGGGGAAGGGAGACTTGTGGAGCAAAAGTACGGTCCTTGTCACATACCCCCTGACTCGCATGGGGATTGTTCTCTGGCATCTTGTCGCAGTCAGTTGGAGAACATTTCAGAAGTCTCAGCCCAGTCAAGTTGGTGTAAAAAGGAGACTCGGCCCACCTTAGGTGTGGTCGCTCATTGTGAACCAACGAAGCGGGGTGGCTCGACCATCACCTCCAATCCAAAGTCAAGGCAAGTTCCGACTAGAGACCAACAGGGCTCATGGTATCCAAAATGCCGGAAGCAAGCGGTGACCACAAGCTTTGGAGATGGCGCGAAGTGAAGCTTTGGTTGCAGCTAGCTAAGCCAAGCTTTTTCCCCGCGATGTTCCGTCCGGGGTCAGGCACGCGCCGACCAATCATATCTACTTTGGAACCACGTACATAAAAAGGAGTGACAACAACCAGATTTTTCCGGAAAGCTCTACTGAAGACAAGCTATTTGGCTAATAACTAGAAGGCTTACTTGACTAAGAGACGATCGGATGTCGGGAAAGGAAACGTAATAGCATCTCTTTGGTGGAACAGGAGAGTATGAATCGTGTAAATTGCAATTTCCCCCCTTGTTGTTCTTTTCATCTCTTCCTTTACACTTTCACTTCTTTCCCTTAAGCGAAAACGAAATCCACTTCCGATTAGGATCGTCGAGGGCCTGCGCATGACGTGTTGAATAGCATCCCTCGGGTGGAGCAGGAGGGTATGAATACTCCGCAGGCCTAAATGTCGCGGGCACCTCCTGGTCGTAAAGATCACGAGTATCGCTCCTCGGATCCTTGATATCAGCAGCATCAGAGGATGTCAGTCATCTGTCTCAGGTTGAATGGTGGGTTGGGTCAGTTTTGAGGCACTTACGAGGCATATCCAGCATGGGTATTGTATGCTCGCAATGCATTTGCGTGGTCTCGGTATGCATCTCGGGCAAATTTCCAGTGCTGTTTTTGTTCCCTGACCGTGGTCTGGGCTACA